TTTCCAAATCTGTTGCTTTCATGGTACAATTTTACATGGCTAGGGAGGAAGCCCATGGACCTCTCTGCCCCCTGCCGACAAACCAGGGGGGAAAGGGGGGAGAAGAGAGAGAATCACCAACTGAAACAAATGCTCTCCAGAGCCTAGGCCACCACATGTACAATCAAAGAAATGCTTTGTAGACTTGCAAATCAACTACAACTCCTAGGAAAGAGATGGGAAATGCCTCTTTCCAGAAACATTCTGAATTTCAATGCAAGCGCTAAGAGTGCTGGCTGTCAGCAGCAACACAGCAAACACTAGGAAGGCATGAGAGAAGCTGGGACTTCTATCCATTGCTCAGTGTCTTTCTCCTTTTTTGTTTCTAGCTAAGCATTTGGGAGCATTGATACTCAAGAAGCATAGAAACCAGTTAGGCAGAAATGCTGCGTATGGAAACTGCAGAGGACTTCCACCACACCACCCCAGACTTACAAAGTGGCAAAGTGTTATTGAAAGATTCTGTACATTTATTTCAATGACCAGCAAGATCTGCACACAAGTTTCCTTCAATTTTTATTTTTCAGTTTTTTTAAAGAGGTGGGAAGCCACCAGTATTCAACAAGGTGGAAAGTACAGCACATTTGCTCATCATGAAAAGTCATTGATTGAGTTAACCATGCTTGTCTGCTTAAGATATATATCTCATGGTAGAAGACCTAACAAACACTGGGTTGCCTTCCCCATTTCTGATTTGTTTCTTTCCCAGTTCCTTTGTCAGCAATTGTTTCAAAATAATGAACTGGAGAAACAAGTCAGGGACAAGCCACAGTTGTGGGTTTCAATGTTATGACAAGCCATGATTTAAGCAAACCAGATTTCATAAGCTAACAACAAATCATGGATTCTGATTGTAGTTTGTGGTCAGTTAACAAACTATTTCTTGTTGGCAAAAGTGGGTTTGCACATCTCAACACACCAGATTATAACAAATGACATCATGACTTATCATGATGTACAAATGTAACCCATATAAGTAGTTCTGGAAACAAGGAAATATCAGGTTTTCAGCCACACTCACAGATGTGTGTATGTGTAACATGGGCATTCTTTTGATAGCATGCCTTCTTCTGTATTAACTGAATCCATAAGAATACAAACCACCCACCCAATCAAGCCCCTCCTGGAAGATTTTTTTGAAAAAAAGTCTGGTTCCCAATGTAAATCCATTTAAAAACAACAACAAAACCCAGGAATCAATCAACCAACAAACCAGCTTTTTGGTGTGTAATAAATACTACAGACATCCACTGAGTCACAAAGGGGATGGTAAGTATATATGCAGTACCTAAAGAAAGTAGGAGACAGTCTTTGTAGAAATCAGTGTAACAAATAGCAAAAAAAAATTGGTTCAGGTTTGGCTATATATATACATATACAAACTGGAGGAAAAATAGTGTAAACAAGCTCTTTCTTAGAGCCCAATACATCATATTCAGAGAATGATGAGCACACAAAAGATTTTTTATTTTAATTTTTTTTGCATTCAGCATGTCTGAAATGATCTGCACTTTCACAAGAGGAAGGGGTTTCATTTTATGTTTTGCATAAGCCAGCGCTTGCTTCTTCTTAGCTTTGTTATTTCTTAGTTTGATTCTTGTAAACAAATAAGGTCTACTGAAATTTCTTGGCCCAGATTCCCATTTCCTGCTGAGGGACATCTATACATACGGCCTCTTATTCTGGGCTTGGCACAAAATGGCTTCCTCGGTTGTTTCGAGTGGAAGAGGACGGCCAAAAGCTTTCGCCGGATCAGAGACGGCAAAGACTCCACCTTTGCTCAGCCGTCAAACGTGAAAGATCAGCGGGCTTAACCGAGGCCTTCCTGTCCCAGAATTACAGGCTATGGAATGTATTAGAGAATAATTAAAATCCTCCCCATTTCTAAACTGCAGTTAGACCAATTGAAAGGCTTCTGGCCTGAGTAACGGAAGGGGCATCTTCAAGGCAGCTGCCACCCACTGCTGTGGGCTCACAGAGGAAAGCTTCTTAGTGTAAACATTAAGTCAGTTTTGCTTAACAATTAAGCTACAGTGTTCTGTGCTAATAAGGCAGTAAATGGAGCCGCTCTGTTGCCGCTCTAGGTGAGCGAGACACACAGACATGAAGGGGGCCTGAGTTTGGAGATACACATGAGAGCACCAGGATAAGCACAACTGTCTCGGCTATTGGAGCTGGCAAGCCAGTCAAACATTCAGACAGTGATGTGGTATAGTCCTCCTCAGAATGTGTCCGGGGCATAGAAGGTTTGAAACCAAACCCTAGTGAAATCTTCCTTTGTATTTGGAAGAGCAGCACATCAAACATGGAGACTGTAATGCTTTCAAGAGGTTGCTCCTGGCAAGCATTCCAGTGTGCTGATAGGAAGGGACTATTAGGCCATGTGTTCTCATAACTATTTTAGTCTGTTCCTGGATCTGAAAGAGAGAAAGGGGAGGTTTCAAAAACAAACTGTGGTGCATCATGGCCAAAGGCCATATACACAAGTCTAGGTTTCCAAAGCTTGGGAAAATTACTTTTTTGGAGGATAACTCCTAGATCCCCTAGCTGTTCTTCCTGAGAGATTCTTGACATTGTGCTCCAAAACGTACCTTTCTCAAACTACCTGTGTAACAGAACCCCTGATGTTTTGGCATCCTGTTTGCAATTCCAGGGGTATAAACTAGAAAAGATGATTATTTTAGATATACAGCTAAATTACCACCAGTGGTATGCCACCATGATAACTGAGACACTAGTTGCACATATATCTTCGATTGCAGGAGTCAGTGCTGAAAAGGACAATACTGTACCACCCATGGGATTAGGGTGGCCATGTGATGTGGAAAACAAGGTTTCTGTACTTTAAATGGTTTTATGAAAGCAGGACTCTGAACAGGTAAAGCTTGTCAAGCAAGCAACACCTTTGGAAATTCCCTCCTCCTGAAAGCTATTAAAAGCACAGCAGCCCTCTTTTCCTTTCCATGTGGCCATCCTGGTGGGATCTGAGTGGGTCCCAGATGTTGTCAGACTTGAACTCCTGTCAGTCCTAGCTGATATAGGCATGATGGGAGCTGAAGCACAACCAGGAAGATCAGCTGTTCCCCTCCTCTGGGAATGCAATGTCATTCCCTTACTGCCTGTGATATCTGTTTTTTTTATGCACACCATTAAGAACTCTCACTACCGTTGTTCCTTTTGCTGTCCTTGGCTGTGTCTACTCTCTCAGTAGGGGTTAACATCCCCAACCGTCGGCTACTGTACACAGAAACAACATTAAAAAGAACAACACCCAAGTTCTACAGTAAGGCCCCAATGGCAACTCTGAACGTTACCCAGGCCATAATAATTCCATAATGAAGAAGAAACAGAGACATGAGCATCGAAGTAGAAATCTGTACAAAACACACATTTAACAGTGATAGTTCTTTTGTTTGGTACAACCTGCTGTTTGATTTCAGTTCTGAGTATGAGTGCTGTGACAACAGTCATTTCCTTTACTTCCTGAATACCAGGAGGTGACATTAACAAGTCAGAAAGCCATTGACTGAGAAACATGTTTTCTGCCTATTAAAAAAATAAACAAAACCCAGCAACAACAGAAAACGAGAAAGTATTGTAAAAACTAGATTCTGTTCAAATAAAATACATGGAAATCGATTTTGCTTAACGTTGGGCAGGTGTGTGTATGTGTTAGTGTCTGTGCTGTCACAGATATAGTAAATATCCAGTTTGCTTCAGATAGGAGAGAGGCTTCTGTTCTGGGGAGTAAGAAACAGTGCACTGTGAAATAGCAGGCAATTTTTAGGCACACCTAGGTGAGTTCTGATTAAAAAGACTGACCTACGCAGTTAAACATTTAAGAACAGTAGATTACTATCAGATTCGGGTTGGAATACTTCTTATGCTTGCTAGGGAAATAGTAGGTAATCAGGGATGGGAAACTAATGGCCCTCTAGGTGTTTTAGACTAACTCCGCTATCCTGTACCGCTGGCTGGGTCTTCTGACAGTTGAAGTCCAAAACCAGCTGGAGGGCCAGAGGTTCCCCATCACTATAAATCAAACCAAGCTCCCAGCAGCTTTCAGAGAACCTGTTTGTGTTGCATGAGTGCACATCATCATCATAGACATTCTTCCGTCTCGAGAGACTATGCATGTCAGGAAAAACAGTATTAAATGAAAGGAGTGGAGGGTGAATTTCCTCCTTCATTAACTAGACTGTGTTCTATAGCCCATATTTTTTAGGTTTTCATGATCCACCACGGTATCCAGCCTGTATACCTGCAGAACCATGTTGCTAGCCGGTTACTGCTAGTGGAGCGGACTTATTTGATGAAATTGTCTCAATAGGAGTACATAGTAGGATAGCCCATGGAATCCCTAGGCTGGGGCTCACAAGGGAGAAGAGGGGGGCAATGTGCCAGATGCATCTCCTGCAGAAGCGTGGGATGCCGGCCACTACTGGGACTAGCACCAGGTTGGTATAGGCACTTCCTGGGTAATCAAGAACCTTGATGCGTGTGGATTACATGAACAGTATACTACTGCAAGTATGCTAAGCAACCTTTTGCTGTAGGCACGGGGTGGGGGGGGTGGGTGCAGTTTGAGCACTTTCCAAACAATGGCTGAATAAATATAATAAATGCTTCCTTCCTTCACATTGATGAGAGGGAGCATGCAGGAGGAGGAAGACAAACATAACACATCAGTATTGGGTTTCTTTTGAACACCCGCATGTTCTCCCAAATAATTTCCTGAACACTGGAAATAGCAACCTAAAAAGAAGTCTTAGATGGCTCTTTAGGCTTTGGCTAAGATTGCTAATCTCCCCATTCCCCTCCGTCAGGATTCCTGAAAATTTAACAGATCAACAACATATAGAAATCCAGCATGTAGTTATTATCATTGGAGTTTTTTCAACCTTGCATGCTGCTTTTAGTAGGTTTGGCTGGAAGGGATTTTTCTGGACTGGGGTGACTGTCAATCTATCCAGCACTAACCAATCATGTCTTCCCTGCCCCTGAATTCAAAAAGAGCTCTGCCACTCTACACTGTGCCGCTTTCCCCCTCTCTGGAATCTGTTGAAGTCTGCTGCTGAAAGCAGTCATGTTTGCCAGGCTGCTGTCTGATCTATTCAATTCTAAGTAATGAAACCTTTTATTCTGTCTTTTTAAAATGTCTCAGAGTGGGGTTATTGACCCTGTATGTGCTAATTAATGATAAAAGGGTGGGCTACTCTGGGGAACTTAAAGCTATCCTGCTTTGTGAATTCCTGTACTTCTGATGTGTAGCTAGAGAAATTTAACCAGAAATTCAAAACTCTGCAGCAGTTATGAGGATGAAATCTGGACTTTCTGAATTCCTCTAGTCATGCAGCATATAAAACAAAAGCCAGCAAAGAATGAGGAGGTCCTCCTCACTCCAAGATTGGTTCCACACCCTTCACCCTCTCACACTTATCCAGACCCAGATATAGAAATCAGAAGAGCCTAGAGCCGAGGGATAGAAAAAGTGTGGTCCTTCTGGTAACAATGGGCTGCAACTCTCATCATTCTTTTGCACTGAGTATTCTGTCTAAGGCTGATGGGCATTCTAGTCAAGAAACATCCAGACAGTCATGCATTCCCCACCAATGGTGTTGGGCAAGACACAGTGGCTGAGATCCTGCTGTACAACATAACACTGCATAAGGCTGATAATGGCTCCTGCAGATCCCAAGGCCCCCCCAGGACCTCTTGTGTTATGGAGAAGTGGCTGGGGGCTGCAAGGTGGGAAGGGAGTCTTTGATTTCTGAAAATTACCCTTGCTGGTAAAATCGTCTCTAGGAAACTAAAGCCTCCCCCATTGCAGCCCACTGCCCCTAATGATTTCCCCATGAGGAAGGTGAGCCCAAGGAAGTCTAAGGACCTTAAGAGGAGGGATGAAATGAGAAATGGGGTGAAAAATCACCAGAGCTGATGACCTAATCAGCCTTACGCAGTGTAACGGAGTTGCTGTCGCAACTGTCGCTCTTCAAATAGTCATCTGGGAGCAACAAGATTTCAGCCAGTGTTTGTTTCCTGGTTAGGATGAAAGAAAATTGAAACACATTTTTTAAAAAGGAAAAAAAAAAGCCAAGTTCCTCATGTGTTCCATAAGGCGCAGCCAGAGCAAGACGGCTTTTAGATAAGTCTAAACTTGGTCTTCACTTACGACCAGGATTAGACAGATTGGCTGGGGATGGTAGTGGATTAAGGTCTGAGTCTGTGGGTGGATGCATTTCTACAAAACTCATCCAATCGCAGGCTGACATAATGGATAATGACTATGGAAGGTAAAAAGTATTTATGCCATATAGGGAAGTGTATGTAAACAATAATGGCCCCAGATTAAAATAGTGAAGTTGGGCCAACAGGAGGGAGAATTTTCAGAGGTCCAGGTTAAGTGAATGTGGGGATAATGGCAAAAGAAGGTGGATACTAGCACCTACACATACCAATACTGGCTTTAAACAGTGTTGTGTGTGGGGGTGAAGGCTTCTTTCCCCATCCCTTCCTCAGAAAGATGGCTGTCAGAACATAGGGCAAATACACAACAGGACCGGCAAAAAGGACAACCTCAAGAGGATTTGCAAAGTAGGTGCTGCTCCATTTTCCTGCCCCCCAAATCTTCTGAGGGAGACAAGCCTGCCTAGTATCTTGACACTATTTCAATATGTCACTGCCAAGAGAAATGAAACTGGTATCACAGCAACGGGAACAGAAGAAGCGTAAAAATAACCATAGATATTTCTCTTCTTTCTGATTACAAAGATACAAAAATGTATAAAACCCTTTCCCCTGCCCCTCCCCTGCCCTTCCACATTTGCACAGAGTCTAGGAAAGTTTCACAATGGAAGATTTCAATTGGTCTGGTTCTGATATGTAACTATGGTCTGGGAGGTCGCTCATGGTGGGTTTACTGCCTTGCCCCACCGTCCATAGAGGGTGGGCCTCTGGGCCGGGAGAGTGGCCAGTCTGGCACTGAGATACCCAAGGGACGCCTTTCTTCCACAGCCAGGTCTGCGCTTCTTGCCCGACTCTCATCCATGAGTTCTCCACCGCCGAGTGCTGGGGGAGGACGCAGTTGATTTGGGCCTCCAGTCAGACTCAGTCCTTTCCTTGTAGGTGCCTTCAGGATCCCTATCCTCCACTGGCAGTTCTTGGCCCAGCAATCATTCCTGATTCTTCCTTGGTCCCAGCAGTTGGGGCCCTCAGGAATGACCCTCGCTTCTTGTGACTCTTCTCGGGGGGGGAGAAAAAAAGGCATAGTTAAGAAAGCTGCTCCACAGAGACTGTGCATTCAGAATCAATTGTACACACTATCTCGTTTGAGAAAGCCCCCCCTCTCTCTCCTCCTCCTCCTCCTCCTCCTCAGTTATTGTGACAATCTAAAACATAACTACAGTCAGGGTCAATGGAGTATGGAACAATCAGATATTAGAAGCTATAACAAAGACCTGGAGTTATATAACTCTCTCTCTCTCTCTCTCTCTCTCTCTCTCTCTCTCTCTCTCTCTCTCTCTCTCTCTCTCTCTCTCTCTCTCTCTCTCTCTCTCTCTCTCTCTCTCACACACACACACACACACAGAGAGAGAGAGAGAGAGAGATGTGCTGCCCAGTCGGAACCAACTCACAGTGATCCTAATAGGGAATATTTAAGGAATGGAATATTTAAGGTTTGGTTGTATTAGTTCCAACTCCACCCCCCCCCCGAAGTTTCCATGGCTCAGCAGGGATTTGAAACAAGGTCTCCTGAGACAATCAATCACTCTACCCATCACACCACATTGGGTATATATATCAAGCTCTATCACAGTAGCTGAAAGTTCTCTGGGGAACCCTTGTATATGGAAAGCTTTAGATCAGTGATGGTGAACCTTTTTGAGCCCAAACTGCAACACAAAATCAACTTATTTATTTCAAAGTGCCAACACTGCAATTAAAACCCAAATACTGAGGTTTTACTTTAAAAAAAACAACTGCTCCTGTACTGCAAAGCTTAAATGCTTGCATATTTTTTTTTTCTATGGGTGGTATTAACAAAGAAATGCCTATGTTGGCTTGGGCATGTTGTGAGAATGGCTGATGGTCGGATTCCAAAGGATCTCCTGTATGGAGAATTAGTGCAGGGAAATCGCCCCCGAGGGAGACCACAGCTGCGATACAAGGATATCTGCAAGCGGGATTTGAAGGCCTTGGAAATGGATCTCAACAGATGGGAAACCCTGACATCTGAGCATTCAGCCTGGAGGAATGCGGTGCATCATGGCCTTTCCCAATTTGAAGAGACCCTCGCCCAGCAGGCTGAGGCAAAGAGGCAGTCACAAAAGCAGCAAAATCAGGGAGCTAGACAGGGTACAGATTGTACTTGTCTTCAGTATGGAAGGGATTGTCACTCTCAAATTGGCCTTCTCAGCCACACTAGACGCTGTTCCAAGTCCTCCATACAGAGCACGATACCATAGTCTCTTGAGACTGAAGGATGCCTGTGAACTTACCGGTCCTCCAATCCCCCATTAGGCTAGTCCGGTAATGGTCGCCATTGCACCCCTCCGCTGGACCACTACCTCAGCAGAGGGGAATGTCAAATTCCAGGATTGTAGGACATGTAAGTATTTCTTGATGGTGACTTATGGCTCACGTGCCCACAGAGAGGGCTCTGTGTGCCAGCTGTGGCACATGTGCCACAGGTTTGCCATTGCTACTTTAGACCATAGTGGGCAATGATGAACCCTGAGAATAACTAGCAGAACAAATGTAGAACCAAGCACAGCTTTTCTGAAATATTATTTTCTGAAATCCCTCCAACTATGAACTAAGCTTCTCAATAGTTCAGCTTGTTTCTCTGAATGGAGAAACCACAGCCTGGACTGAACTATAAGATGAGAACCGTCTGTCAGAAGTGGAAGGTACTTACTCTGAGTCTGGTGACAGCTCGGAAATACTGTGAGATGTAGCAGAGCGAGGCGGTGACGGGCATGGTATAGAAGGCATGGAAGGTGTGGAGGACGTCTGTGCTGCAGAAGGAGTGGGGGTGGTTTGTGGGCCTGAGGGAGTACTGGATGATTGCACAGAGGATAAGACAGAGGAGTTAAAAGAAGCTAGGATGGAAGAAAGGATGTCTAATTGCTCTGTAGAGGGGTGACGGCTGGGGATTGCTTCTAGATTTTCTCTAGAAGGGAGCCTTCTAGAGAGGAGTTCAAGATTTTCTCTAGAGGGCTGCTGTCTAGAAAAGGGCTCCAGATTTTCCCGAGGAGCCTGCCTGCTAGGCACTATGTCCAGAGGCTCTCTGGAATTAGATCTTCTGGATAAAAAGTCCAGCTGCTCTCTTGATGTTTGTCTAGCTGAAGCTAGTTGGTCCCTTGAAGGCTGCCTTCTAGAAAGCAGATCCAACTGTTCTCGAGAAGTGTCTCGACTTGGCAAAGTGTCCATTCGATCTCTAGAGGCTTGCCTGGCTGGCATAGTGTTTAGCCATTCTCTGGAGATGTCTCTTACTGCCCCAGTGCAGTCTAGATGTTCTCGTGACCCAAATCTACAGGGTAGAGTATCTGGATGGTCTCTAGATCCCTGCCTCCTGGGTAGAGTGTTTCTGTGATTTCTTTTATCATGTCCAGTAGCTACTTCAGCCAAGTTTTCTGTAGACCCATGCCTGCTGGGTATGCTTGCAAGGTGCTCTCTAGACCCATGTCGACTAAGAATTGTATCCAGGTGGTCTCTCGACCCAGGTCTGTTCAAGATGGTGTCCAGTTGCTCCCGAGAACCATGTCTGCTGCCTATAACATCTAGGCATTCGCCAGAGTTATTCCGACTCAGCTGTTCTCTAGACATCTGCCTCCTCATCAGCATGTCAAGTTGTTCCCGGGAAGAGTAACGGCTTGCTGGCTGAGAAAGGCTGCCTGCACCTGAATAGATTCTGCCATAAGAAGCAGCAGGAACTGCTCTGTGACCCAGAGTGGACGTTCTATACCAGGAAAGGTCATTGGTCATTCTGCTCACGGACGAGAGGCCTTGCAAAGCTGGAGGGTACTGGAGACGATTCTTCAATATGCCTGTGTCATAAAACGAAGAGAAAGTTAAAAGCAGTCTCCATTTGAGATCTATTCTATGGGTTCCTTTTCACATACAATCATCCCTGCTAAACTTGCCACTCTTTTTCTTTTCTACAGCTATGTCAATTCTCCTTGGTTTTGTACGAGAGAAGCTTCCAGCCATCCTCTGATTCATTTTCATGCTCAGCATTTTAAACTCGTCATCCTTACTAACCCAGCCTTCTCCAATCTGTTACCTTCCAGATGTTGTAGCCCATGACTAGGAATGGCATTTTCAGATTTTCTGAAAATACTCCAATACTCTATTCTGACAGACAGACACTTTACAGACACCTAAATATGGCTCACCTGGGAGAAAGGCCAAAACTAGAAGGGTCTGTTCAGAAAGAAAGCTCCCAGCTATCACTGGGGCAGGAACAGGAAGCTTGGATGGAGCTAGGCCTAGCTAGGCCATAAAGCCTTCTAGTTTGGGTCTTTCTCCTAGGTGAGTCACTTTTAGGTGTCTGCAAGGCATCATTCTGTTTCTTAGAGCTCCCAGAATCACATTCTTACCAACGGCTATACTGGCTGGGGGTGGTGAGACCCACATATTGAGGGGGCACTAAATTGAACTACAGCTGTATACCATTCTCTGTCTTCTTTGCTTTGTCAGCTCTTATGCCTTTCTCCAGCTTCTGCCATCATTTCACTTCCATGCATGGAACAGGCTCCTTCAGGATGTGTTTCTGTTTTCTGTTCCAGTGTTTTCCTTCAAGGCTTACTTTTTAAACAACACTCTTCCCATATCAACCCAGCCTCCTGACTGGCTAGGGCTGATGGGAGTGCCACCTGGAGGGCTATGAAGTTCTCCAGCCTGGACTAAAATGACGGTGGTACTGTCAACAGCAACAGCACCACCACCACCACCAGCAGCACCAATGATAATCTTCCTCGTCCTACATTAAACAGTTCGTATGAGTAGTGCTCGGTAGTGTAGAAGCTGCACACAGATTGTTATTGCAAGTCATCACTGAATGTGAAAGTGCCCATTCAGTGCCAGGTTTGAAAATCATTAACCCCAAAGGCTGTCCTTGTATGTATTGTGAAATGAGTATTTCCAGGGTTCCTCGCTGCTTGTGCTTTCTTCGAGCAAAGCTACCATCTGACACTCTTTTAGTCTGTTTGTAAGCAGAAAAGATTATGAACACGATACACAGAACCCAACTGCTTCTTGTTCATTACATGGCAGGGGGATGCAGGTTTCCACACATCAAGATCCAGAGCCAGTGGTTCCGTGCTGAACGAGTAGAGACATAATTGGCAATTTCGGCACCCAGGAAAGTGGAGCCCTCTCCTGTCCGCTCCACCCTCAGACAAGGGCACAAGACCCGCCAAGACAAAGGAGGAGGAGAATGTGGTTCTACCCAGAAAAGAAAAAGTTTATGTCTTAAAAAAAAAACACCCCACCCACAATGAGTAGGGCTTAGAGACCTGTTTATTTTTGTAAACACTAACCATTAGATTCACCTCTAGAGTTTGGTGCTTTGGGGCAGAACCCCACTTGTCCTGTCCTACTTATGGGGCTGTGAACTACGTACTACTAGGAAGAAGCTCTGCGTTCATTTCTCCATTTCAGAAAGAGTTTGCACCGGAGCATGGTGTCTACTTGAGCCAAGGTGCAGTTTAAGTAACAGTTCAAGGGCAGAGTTTGGAAGTAAGGTATTAAAAGCAATACTGTTACTTCTTACTAGGGATGGAAGGAATTGACTAAATTCCTCATTCTTATTAATGTAGGCTATGATGAGACATCCTGAGAAGGAATGTTAAAGCCCCACAAAATTCTTCGCTTCCAGTAGACAAAAAAGGAGTTCTTTCTCCTCTACAAAAGTCTCCGTAATTGTCACAGAACATTTCTATGGTTTTTTCCTTTTGAATGTGTGCGTGTTCTGTGCCTTCAAGTAGGAACCAACTCATGGTGTCCCTAATAGGGCTTTCAAGGTAAGTGAGACATTTAAGAAATGATTTTTCCAGTTCCAAGCCCCCAGTGAGCTTCCATGGCCCTCTATACACAGATGACGCAGTTATCATGTCACTGTCGGAAGTTGGTCTTAAATTCTACGTGCATTTATGAGTTACTGCAGGAACAACCTATTAACAATTAACTTCGAGAAAACCAAAATAATGGTTTTCTCTAGGCATAGTAAAGTTAAAGAATGGGTTAATGAGGGCCAGTATATAGAGCAAGTTAAAACATTTAAATACTGTACTTGGGAATTGTCTTCTCACGTACCCTCTCCTGGTCTCACCATAGACAAGCAGCAGTGCAGGTGGCTAATAATACAAGCAAAGTTCTTAGACGGTACCACTATGTCAATGTTGGGCAGTTCATACCTGCTGCTCTACAGATAGTTAAGTACAAAATTCTTGCACAGCTCCTGTATGGTATTGTAATTTGGATAAATGGTTTCAATTCCTCACTTGAAAGTGTTCTGTCAAACTCTATGTGACTCCTAGTCGCCATGCCAAGATGCATCTCTTCAGCTGCCTTGCGTTGGGGGCTGGCCTTCAATCGGTGGAATGCCAAGCTTGGTTGTACGCATTCCGATTCTGGTTGAAGGTGGTATATGCTCCCACAACCAGAGGGCATTTATACTATCTACAAAAAGATGTCTTTGCCAGCTCATGGCATAAGGGATTTACTGACAAATTACAATACATCTTTTAGGCTTCTTTGTGGACTTCTTTCTGAGTCAGCCTCATGATAGTACCAAGTCAATGCATGTACAATGCATTAAAGACATAGATCTCCCAAGTGAGGATTCAGGTCTCCTGAGTTCTAATCCATCACTGTATCTACATAACACTGGTTATCTTCCTTATGAGTAGCAAATCTATAAACAGAGCAAACAGAGAAGGATTGGCTGACTGTTTAGAAAGAAAAAAAAGAAACAATCTGTGCAGTGCTTCAAATTTTTATATGAAACCACTGGCCAGCTTAGGTTAATACATAATTTTGTACAAAACATCATTTGTTACCCCTCAACGTTGAGAAGAATTATATCATTCTTTAACCTTGTGTGCAAAGATGAGAAAAGCACGGATTTGCTGCTCCATTTGTTGTCATTACTTTTTGAGTAAGGAAGTCGAGTGCCATTCACTTTTAAGTATTTTAATGAAAATAAAGCATATTAGTGATTTTGCATGAATACGAACACCCGTTCGCCAAAATCCTGTTGTTTAACATAGTAAATTACACCAGAATGGGCCCACTGAATCAGTGGGGATTTGGTGAATGAACTCCTCTGTAGGTTCCATCCATTCCAATGGGCCTACCTTAACTGTAACTTACTATGCTAAAGTAGCATGATTACATAAATGTTATTTCAGGGCAATTGGGTCATTTCTGGGTGGAGGGGTTGATAATGTGTTAATGATGTGTTAGATTATTCACAGCTTGCTGTCTGCAAAACTGAACAACAAGTGGCAAACTGTGTTTTGAAGTAAAGACTCCACACTCTGATTCCAATGAACCGTTTTCACAGGAGTTGCACAGGAGTCGACCTTTTCCTAGTTCTTGGCTGAGGCCTGGGCAAGTGGTGTCACAAATTCTCTTTTCTGATACTGAAGACTGGAAGGCAGCTCACCAGGTGTCCTGTTGGTGGCCCTGAAGCCCCTGCCTGCTGCATTCATTCCCACTATCCTGTGGGTGGGTGGAAAGAGCCAGCAAGGAACTCAAGGGACCGGTGCTGAGCTCTCCATGGTCAGGATGATGCATGAGTCTGACGGCTCCTCACAGCTGCTGTGGCTATGGGGTCTGCTGGCTTGGGGAGTTCTGCTCCCCTTAACCATTTTAACAAGGTTATTCCAGGTTCCAGTTCTCACAAAAGCTGAACCCCAATGCTTTGTTTGAACCCTTGGAAAGCTGCTGCCAATCTGAGGACACAGCAGAAGAGTGAGAATGGGTGACTTTCCAAGGTTTTATTTGGCCCCACATTATTTCCGTGCTACACAAACAGTTTCACCACTGCGTCAAATTGTCTTTGATCTTCCTTACCCTTCCTCTGCCGCTGCGTTTGGGTGAGAGAGTTCTCATCCCCACTGGTCAGGGCTAAGTCCGGCTGGTTATTGTTGGCAGCATCCTTGTTAATATCAAATCCAAGTTTCCGCTCTGAGCCCCACTTCTGGAGGGAACAAGGATGAACTTCACATTCACCCAGGGCTGGCCAGTAGGACATCAGGTCATTGCCATCTACATCTGTGGAAGAATATAATGTGTGTACATATCGATTGTGACGTCTATGTCATCTCAGCAAACAATGAAAATATTTGCCATAATATCTGGTAACTATTGATAGATTTTCATCCTCTTTGATAGGTGGTGTTCCAATTCTGGTAAAGTGGCACAAAGCTGCTGAGTTCTGCTAGAATGCCCTTACAGCATACATTCTGCACTGCCCACCTATAGAAAGCCGACAGGAAGCATGCATTGCCTGGGATCCACTCACACTAAAGGTAATAAACTGGTCTTTGGTTGAGCCCCTTGGGATGATTGTGGTTAGCACTGTACACCTTCATGAGTTGGGAAGGATCATGCCCATGTATAAAATGTTAAAACAAAAATGTATACATTAATTTCCCCCATTTCTGTGCACAATTATTCTTATACTTTGCAACAAAAGTGCCACCCATACATCTACCCTATTTATTTTAATTGGCCATCCACATTTTATTTTGTAAAAATTTCTACTCTTAGCTGAGAAAACTATCTTTTGCTATTCATCAAAACCTTACAATACAGTATTTGGTTTGCCATTTCTAACATGGGATACAGTGCTCAGTGCTCACGGGCTTTGGGCTTTCTCCAGCCTGTGGCACCCACTTTGGTCCAGTGGGCCTCCATATCTCTAGGACTCAAAAAGGGTTCTCCGTCGAGTGGCACTTGCCTTTGGGGGTGGTGTTGGAAGGATTGGTGAGGAGCCTCTCGCTGTGTGCTGCCCTTTTGAACTGGCGCTGGAACCTGCCCCGGAGATGGACATTCTCTTCGCTCTCTGATGAGGGGATCGAAAGACTGCGTTCTTCATCGAGGGAGAGGTCACTGTCTGAGTCGGAGTCTTGATCTACACAAAATATATAATGAATGGAAGAAGAGAGAGCAGAGGTGGCAGGGCTTCCATTCTAGGACATGGTGGCTCGCAGCTTCACCCTCCCGCATACAACCAGAGAAATCTTTAAAGTGCAAAACATCAAAATATTTCACCAACCACATCGGTCATTGTCCTGCCAAGTCTTATCACACCACACCAGCAAGACCCGGTGCATTCTTTGGCGGGGGAGGGAGAAGTGTTGTTGGCTAAGGCTAGCTACTACTTCACTTTCTGGAAAAGCCTGAGCACGTTTGCAATGTCAAACTGCATTTGCTGCAGCAGGACCCCTAAGGGGCTCTGTGTGCCTGAAACAGAAACGACAATATCCCAGCAGCACACTGCCTTTCAGACCTACAAGTTGCCTCACCAGAAAGACACCTTACCTGGCCCTGCATCCCGGTGGAACATGGCTACGTCAAGATCTGTGGGGCCAGCATGATTCAGCAGGTTGTGATCCAGAGCTGAGCCCTGATGTGCCATCATGTTCTCTCTGAAACTCATAACAAAAAGGGAAAAAAACAGTTGGAACCTGCATTCTCCACTTCCGCTTTGGGCAAAACTTCATGGTCCGAGAGTACCACCAGCAGAAGGGACTGGTAAACATTTCTGAGTACTTCATACATAAAAAAAAACATTGTGAAGGGTCATCATAAATTGGAATTCAGTTGATAGCACATAATTTATTTTATAGGACAGACTACTGGACATCCATGGTCTGGGAGCATTTCATCTAGCAGTGGTAGGATCAGGAACCTCCACAACTTGGACCATGGCTTGCCACTGATTCAAATGAGCTGCCGCTACTAATGAGCTAAAGGGCACTTCTTAGCAAAGGTATGATGCAATTAGCCTTTGTATTCGTGAAGGTTTTCATGGTTGTTGTGGGTTTTTCGGGGCTCTTTGGCCGTGTTCTGAAGGTTGTTCTTCCTAACGTTTCGCCAATCTCTGTGGCCGCCATCTTTAGAGGACAGCACTCTGTGCTCTGGTGTAGTTGGCTTGGGAGTTGAGTATTACTCCAAGTCCTCTGAAGATGCCAGCCACAGAGACTGGCGAAACGTTAGGAAGAACAACCTTCAGAACATGGCCAAAGAGCCCGGAAAAGCCACAACAACCAATTAGCCTTTGTTCACATAGACGCACAGCACCAGCCAAGCAATTTCACAACAAACTCAGTGGACAAAGACTAGAGCAGGAAAAGCCATTTCTTAACCAGGCCTAGACCATGCAACCTTGTTACTTTAAACAGATATTCCGTGGGCTCTACTGTTCTGGCACTTTCCCTCTTCTACATTATGTCACAGAGTTCTATCAGGACAGCAGCCAGAAGGACCAGGGCAATGAAGCATTTCAATTTGGAAAAACAATAAGAAAGGGTGAAGATGACATGGCATAGAAGCAAATGGATACATGCTCAGACACAGAGATGCCCTCATTAAGCTCCAAAGGACTGCCCAGATTTCCTAGAAAACAAGATCTACTTTGGAAGACACCATTACTTCTCCACAACTGTGTGTTTCCAGGCATGCTGATGAGATGATGACTTGGGAACGGGGCACTGATTCCTCCTGCTTCTTACCTGAGGTAACCCCGCTGACTGGAATGTGTTCGAGCTGAACGCACGCTGCTGACAGACGAGATGGTAGAGGCTCCCAGTGTGATACGGATGAGACCACTCTCCTCAAAAAGGGCTGTGTTGTTGTAGGCATTTGGGCCCTAGAGGGGAAGAGCAAACACACACACACACACACACACACGCACACTGTTCTAATGTACATTCTAGAATGTTCCCCTCCACATACCACAAAATTCTTTTTTTTAAAAGGGAAAGCTTTTTTAGTGTTTCAAAAATCTTGTCTTCAAGAAAACGTTTTGAGGTAGAAAAGCAGGTGAGGCCATTTATGTTCCAGGATGGGCAGTGAGGCTGTTGGACCTTTAAGAGTTATGTGTCCTGAGGAAGACCCTTGGGTGGCAGCAGAAGGCCCAAATCATTATCATAATTATGCCAATCTTTGATATACCATGGTGACAAGAACACAACTCTTGTACTTCCTGGACAAAAAAATTACATTTCTTGGGCAGAGGGCAATAGGAGAGCAAAAGCTGAGGCCTGGAGCAAGACAACTTCCCTTTAATTCTACCAAATGAGTAATACTGAACGTGACTCTCACCTGACCACTTCTGGTGGCCTCCTCACCCTGACCCTTCTTGCCAAGACAGGCCAGCTTCCAGGCTTCCTGGACCTCTTTGTTTAGCACACAGAACAGAACCAGCACTGCTAAGCCCTGTGGAGAAAAGGGGAAAAGGCTGTGAATTTTGGTGGAAAGGAGATGCCTTACACCAGGAGTAGGCAATAGAGATGGGAACTGGTTCGTGTGTTTGTGAAAGTCCACGAATTTTCCCCAGAAGAACCACAAATAGAGTCATTGGTTCATTTGGGAATATTTGGGAACAAACAAACAAACTCTGGCCACCCTCCCCACCCACACAGCCCACCCACCCATTTCCCACGTTGCCTTTCTAACTTTTCCTGTCACTGCCTCCTCCTCCTCCACTGCTGCCGCTGCCGTCTTGACAACCAGCCAGCCTGCCAGTCTCTGCACATGCCCCTGCTTCTCAGAGAGGCAGCCCAGCCAGCTGACATGATGGTTAACAATTTTAAAAAGTAATTAAAACAATTTTAGCTGGCTTGTCAGCCGGTGGTGCGGGCTCTGCATATATATGTTCCCACCTCTCAGCTGATAGGTGGGGACACTTGCAGAGACGTGTGGTGAGTCTCTCAAGATGGCGGTGGCAGTGAAGGCGTGCAGAGGCATGTGGTAAGTCTCTCGAGATGGCGGTGGCAGTGAAGGAAGAAGAGGCAGCAGCTGGAAAAGGTAGGGAGGCAACAGGAGCAGTGGGAAGAGGATGAGGGTCAGGTGGAAGGAGCAGACTGGGCGGGGGGGGTCAATGAATCAGGAGGTTCTGATATTGCCAAAAATTCCTTGGTTTGAGAAAGTTTGGTTCTCCAGTTTGGACAAACCTGAACCCATCCAAATCAATGAATGAGCAATTTTTGATAGGTTTCCTGGTTCATTGTTAACTTTGTGCCCATCTCCAGTAGGCAATTTCCAGAGACTGGAGGGCTGCCCCCTGCCTGAACCAACAGAGCTGCCCCTGCCCCTCTTCCCCCCACCCTTGTTCCTTTGTTTACTTTCTTTAGGAAAAGTTTAAAAACAAAAAACAAAAATTCCCTTCAGATCTTTTAGCAGAAAATTCAATCCAATTCAATTCAATTCGGGGGGTTGCTGGTGTTTCCCCAAACATGGCAAAGTTGCCACCCAGACTCTCAAAGGCCAGATGGTGGATTTTTAAAGGTTTCCCCCCAAATTTAAAAAAAACTATATGGAGTTCTAGGGGGGCCAGTGGTGAAGGGTCTACTCTAGAGCCCCCCGTGGGCTTCATGCAGCTGCACGCTACACTTGCTCCTATTTCTCCCTGGTTTACTGTCACTTACCTAGAATTATCTGGTGATCTAACTGCAAATCACCTAGAGATCTACCAACAGATCCTGAACTACCTGCTTTCCACTCCTGTTGAATGAGAAGGGATGATACAAATTCTGCCTCTTTGCTATAAAAGCCACACAAAATCCTACTATATAAAAATCAAATGTTATGTAGTTAATGGGAAGTGGGAACATTCATTCTAGTAATTAGATTTCTTGTGGTTATGAAATTAGATTTTTCATGGTTTCATAACTGTAAGAATTCTAATTACTAGAATGAATGCTTCCACTTTCCACTAGAGGGCAAAATTGGTCTTGTAATGTAAGCTCCAGGCTAGGTGAGTTGAGGGACAGGATTTTGAGTCTACATCAGGAATCTAAACGTTAGGAAAGAAAAGCCCCACAAGAAAAGAGATCTACCAAGAGCAGTAAATTAACAATACTGGAACTAGCGAAACATCCCAATACATATTCAGATTTGTTTGAAAAATTATGCTATTGCACATTCTTTTAAAATAATATTCTGCAAGAATTGTAGAAAATTACTTCTAGATTGGTGAAAAGAGTCATTTCTGCTCCCTCCCAATATACATTTATTCATTCATTTGGTTTCCAATTTGCTTTTTGCTCCATAAATGCTTTTTTGGTGAAATGTTTAACACATCTAACAAACAATCATGCTTCCAGCTAGGATATTGCTGTTAAGCATTGTTTAGTACACTATCTGGTTGTGTGCTTGTCAGCTGGTGTATTTAATGCTTATTACATAGCCTGCAAAACTGACAACACATTTTTGCAAAGTTCAGCAAATATGCCAACTGTGCTTGCCCATTTGCACACTGTTTGCACAATGAAAAGGAGCAATGGTGTCTGAGTTTGCTGAGACAGTGGCTTGAACCAGTTTGCTGAGTTTGCTGAACCAGTGCTGTCCATTCAGGGCTAGCCCAAGCCATTTTGCTGCCTGACATGAGAGACGTGACACTGCTTGTCTCCCTGTTAGGTGTCAAAGTCAACTGAGCTGGTTCCTGGCACTTAGTTTAACAGGGGCAGTGAGGTGCAGGACTGGCTGTGTACCTCACACCGCTCTGTCTTCCGAAAGAAACAAATGGCATGGGGGCTGAAGGGGAATGGCATCTACCTGAAGTAGTTACTCTGCCCAGCAGTAGGGCTGGCCCTATGCACGTGTAAAGGCATAGACGTATATTTCCCAGACAGCTTCAACCAAGGGGTATGGGGAAGTAGTGAGAGTTACCCTCTTCTGCAGGGCAGCTCCCTGCCCCCAAGGAACTACTACGTAGCTAGCTTCCTCTCCACCTGCTCCCTTGTATTCTGCCTAACCCTCTTCATCCTGGCACAGAAAATTACCTGAAGACCGCAGAGGACAGTGTAGAGGTAGTGGAAAGCCAGGACACTGTTGTTGATAGCCAAGAGGCCAAAAAGCCAAGTAGTGCTAATAACTAGAAGCAGAACGAAGGAGCTGCGCAGCGTCATGCTGGAGAGAGACAGAGAGACAGAGCCACCCAGAAGGACAGGCATGGAAGTTAGTATCTACAATTAGTTACATGGCCACTCAAGAGACACAAACACAAGAGGAGGAGCAAACTAAGCCTACTTTTCACAGTCCAGGCACATTGTGGCTCCAACTCTTTGCTGTGGCCACATTGGGGGGAAAAGAGCCTTTTCAAGCACAAAACCTGGGTTGCGCATATCGACGTATTTTGACTATGGATAAAACCCATAGTTCCTGCCTTGAACCACATCAGTCACAAAGGCAGACACTGCCAATGACATTTAGAAGGCCAAGAAGGGATAGCCTTGTAAGGCCAATAGCATGCTGGGATTAAAAACGGATTGGGACTGAGGTGCAAATCCACTGAAGTAAAGCAGAAGGAATGCTTGGTTCCTTGCAAAAAGAAATGGCTAATACCAGAAGCAGTTTGGCTACCTCAGCTCGTCAGTACTCACAGAACAGATTTCTTCTTGGCTTCCTTCTGGCCTGGTGAGCACAGCATCTTTGCCACCAGCAGAGACATCACCCCGTTCATCTGGAAGCAGACAGGCTGGTTAGGAAGAGTCAGGTTCTGAGCTGGGGCTTCCCTTGGCTCTGCCCTCCTCACCTTCTCCCCAAGGAAGGACGCCTTGTGTGGGGCAGGCTCAGCTAACATGCCCTGACTCTGCATTTGAGGCACAGGCTTCTCACCACCACCACCCAACTCCTGTCAAGTCTCACAGCAAAGTGTGGAAGAAGAATACAGTATTATATAAATGATGAAGTCACAAAGCTTCATCAAGTCCCCAGAAAAAGGATCTGGGCTGAGGTTCCGAATCTCCACAGACATGAGAGAAACGGCGTGAGAACAGGGGATTGAAGGCCCAAAGGGAGCTTGGGCCAAGAGAGGTTGGGTGGGGCAGGGTAGGGAAGACAGCAAGTTATCGAAATCTAAACATTTGTGAGAGGAAAAGGAAGCAGAGGAACGGCAGTATGAGGACAAGAGGTGCTGAGCAAAGAAAAGGAAAGGCAGACACATCCTGACTTCCTCCCCCTTCCCCTAAATAAAATGAACAAACAAACCCAGAATTGCTCACCACAATGACGACAACAATGGGCCCTGCAAAACTCCAGACCAGTTTGTCGTGGATGGAAATCCAACAGAAATCTGGGTTCCCATAACCCTCTGGATCCAAGCCAACTGATAGCCCTGAGTGAAAGGAAGGAGGAAGGTTAGCTGCATTTATGGTCAATATATTTTCCACATCTCTGTGGTTCAGTGTAAATCTGCTTACTTTTCCTCTTCCCCTCCCTTTAAAATCCCTTCATTCTAATGCTGCATGCAGATTTTTCTGGCTCTCTTCTGAGAGGGAATTTATACTCAGGAACAATCACAGTTGGAGAGCCCCAAGTTGGTGAGGCTGCTCCTGATCAGCCTCACAAAAGAGATCTAAAACGTTGTACTCCAAACTCCATGTGTGATCACACAGAGAAGTAAATGACCTTTTGGACTTCCTGTAGAGTGGTCCAGTGTGATCCACAGTGCTTCCTGGCAATCACATGATGTATGGGGGAATTGTGCCCTTGCCTAACCCCAATCTGTACCCAAGTTGGGTCTTTTTGCTTCAGCTAAAGGGCTACTAATTTTGGAGGGTGCTTGGAGCAATTCTTCAACTGATGGAAGGGTTGCCTTAAGGGGGATCGCTCCCTGCAAAGCAACCCTTTCTGGTGTGATTGGACATGCACGCTTCCTGCCATCTGATCACACATTCAGGTGTTTTCAACTTTCAGACAGGCAGTGCATCCTTTAACAGCAAAACCAAGAAATGGGCATGTTTATATGTCACAGTTAGCTATTGTTCATGTTAAACATGGCTTCTTGATTAAGCCATGAAGCATGTGATAGATGATAAAATCATTATAGGTCTTCCCCTTTTCTCTCCTCTCTCTTTTGTCAGCTTCATGGTGGTCAGCTGGGAAAACAAGCTTGGAAAAAAACCACAAGCCCAGAGCTTGGGAAAAAATGTGTGTGATAAAACCCCCCAGAGTCTCAGTCAGTGAGCTAGGTGAGAAGGTCTGTGGGCATTTCGGTCCAAAGAATAGATTTTTTCCAAGCTTTGAACAAGTCATGGGTTAAGCATGTCAGAGTTTGCAAGCCAGCAAGATTCCATGGCTTCTGGCTATGCTTTCTGGCTTGTTAACAAACCGTGGCAGGAATCTTTGTTTAGGCAATTAACTTCCTATGGCTAATTACTGCTTATTTACGAAGTGTTGGACACATCTCGCTTGTATAATCAGGTGCATGACCAGGATATGCCCTGGTAACATTCTCAAAAAGCTATAGTTAGATGTGGCCAATTTGCAGCATCTGGGTATGGGGTCAGGACATTAATTCCCCACTGTGCCTTGTAGGAGAAGGGCCAGACGGTGCCTTGTAGGAGAAGGGCCAGAGGGAGGGAGGGAGAGCAGAAAAGAACAGTAAACTACTTATGAGTACTCTGTACCTAGAAAATCCTGCAAGGGGTCACCTTAAGTTGGAATTGACTTGACAATGTATGATTATTCTGTTACCAAGCTATTCAAGCCTTTTGTGAACACCAAAAGGATTCTCACCCATGGTTGATAGCAGAGGTTGGTTCACACATTACAACAAACCAGATTTAAGCAAGCCACATTATGGTATGACATGATATATATATGCGGTCAGTATTTTTACTATATCTTAAAGACATTCAAATTAACGAAATATAATATGGAGAACTGATGTCTCCACATATGCCAGACGATAGCATCCACTGGCCCAGGTAACATGGCCGATGAAGATGATGGGAATTGTAGTTCAACATCACAAGGAGGAACCAGGCTGAGGAAGTCTATTTTATAGCGTTGCTTCATATTAAGCAGGCTTGCATCCTTGCTGACAGGATACATCGACTTCCATAGTTCTGGCTGCCTAAACACAAGTGATCTTACCAGTGATGATGGCAGGGACCCCCCAGCCAATGGCATAATAGAACCTCATAGCCCCATAGTTGATGTTGCGAGCTTCCATCTGCATGCGGTAAATATGCAGGCCTTGCACAAAGAGCCAGGCAAAAGTGGAGAGGAAGAAGTAGTGCAGGAGGATGGCGATCACAGTGCAGAGGAACTGTAAAGAGCAAAATCATGACCCTGTTCAAACAGCTCCTTTGAAACCACAACGTTCAGACAACTGTACGTAATTGTCATCTTACCTGGAAATATTATTTTCAAAGATAATCTTACCATTGACTTTGAGAAAACTGAGGAAAAGCAGTGGCACATTCTTGCTGTCTTATGTTCCTACACTCAGACTGGTTTGGTTTTAATGAAGTTCTGCCATAAAACTGAGCCCCATAATGTGGTGTTTTGCATCAAATGTAGATTCTAGACATTTCCACAGAGTGCTGGCAATCTCAATTTCTATCAGGGTTCCAGGGGAAAAATGGGAACACATTGCCAAGTCTGTGTAGGCATTCCAAGCTGTAGTAACTCTTTCCTTACTGGGTTAAGACTATCACCTACTCCTTAGGTGATTGGCCCCTTATTTTGCAGAATATTCACCACCAGTGTGGTGTAGTGGGCAAGGTGTTGGCCTAAAACCTGGGAGTCCAGGGTTCAAATCCTGGCTTGGCCATGGAAACTCACTGAGGGTGGGTGCTGCAATGGTAATGGTACTCCATAAACATCTCACACGACTTGAAACCATTTTAGAATTACTGACAAGTAAGATTCTACTTAAGGGATGTGGTGGCACTGTGGGCTAAGCTACTTAAGGGATGTGGTGGTGCTGTGGGCGAAACCGCAGAAGCCTGTGCTGCAGGGTCAGAAGACCAGCAGTCGTAAGATCAAATCCATGCAACGGAGTGAGTTCCCGTCGCTTTGTCCCAGCTCCCGCCAACCTAGCAGTTCAAAAGCATGCAAATGCAAGTAGATAAATAGGTACCACCTTGGTGGGAAGGTAAAACGGCGTTCCCTAGTCACGCCGGCCACGTGACAACAGAAACTGTCTTCAGACAGGCGCTGGCTCTACGGCTTGAAAAGCGGGATGAGCGCCACCCCCTAGAGTCGGACACGACTGCACTAAAAATGTCAAGGGGAACCTTTACCTTTACCTTTACCTAAGATGCTACTTGACAGCATCCAACAACATTTACTACTACCACCCTTCACTCGTTAGCAAATGAGGTCCCATGTTTCATCCTGGCAGAGTTTTCCCTGTTGTTTCTAGGCCTGAACCTTCCTTCTTCTCCAACTCCCCTCACCTGGTTTTCAGTACGGTTGATACCCAAAAGAAAGAGCAATTCAGAGAAGAAGAGTGTGACAGAGATGTTGCAGTGGATGCTCCGGGTGTTTGACTTGAGGCCTTTCAGGCAGATCAGGAAGGAGAAAGTCAGCAGCAAGCACAGAAGGGAGACGGATGCCAGAGAATAGGTGACAATGGCCAAGGTCTCCAGGTTGCCTTCCAGCTGCTGTCAGGAGAACCCAAAGGAGAAAAGCAGGCATCAGAGACAAGCAGGTCTATACGGGTGTTGCACAAGCATTTCCAGTCTAGGATGCCAAAATAGCCTCTATATTAGCATACAATAATCTTAAACACATAAGTCAGTCAATATATATTTGCTTGTTTAAAATATTCCTAGCTGGGTCTCTGTTTGACAACCCACCTCCAAGGCTGCTGATTGGGGTGAAACCAGCAGAAATGGGGTTCAACACCAACATATTTCCCACCCCACCCCTGATTTGGGGGCTACATATGCCCGTTCCTGGACCTTGAAAAACTGCACCTACTTCTGTGACACCACCCCAACTCCTCTTACAAAAATCAGAGGTGGGGGTTAACAGAAAAAGCCACTTTGCACCCTCTAGCGGCATTTAAAAACAAACAATCACACAACAGTATTTGAAATGGGATACCAGGAATGCTGGAGGTACTTCAGAAATGGCAAAATTGCCTCCCATTCATCTTTTTTTTTAATCTATTGGTCGGTCTGTTTATATATATTGGTGGGTTGTTGTGGTGCTGAAGGTTACCTTTGGACTAGACTGTCAATGTTGCCAACTAAACAAAATACTATACTGTGATATTGTCAAGGGTTAAACATGATGCAATGGAGACGGTTATGTTTGTTTACTTATGTCTGCCACACTCCTCTTTAAAATGTATACACACAGATACAGATACAAAAACAAAAAACCCACAGCCAGCAAACCACACCCCTGTCAGTCCTGGCCCATGTGGATTCTGCTAAGAGCCAGGACCAAACTAGGCACAATGGGGCTGACTAGAGATGGGCATGAAATACTGGTTCAGCACAGTTTATTTACCAGCTGCTGCACAGCTGATCTGCTGTTTGGTGCCCCGTCCCCTCCAGTGGATGCCCGCTCAGCAGCAGCCTCCTGCCCCCCTCTGGGCACTGCCCCCAGGTCCCAAAACTAGGAGTCGTCAGTCAGGGGAGGAATCCTCCTGATATTCCAGTGTACGGTAGAATAAGGCAGAGTACAATTCAGCCTCCCTCTTCTTTGATTGTAGAAATATCTACCTTCATATCACTCTGCCTTTATACACGAGTGGGGCACATGAATAAACAAACATGGCTATCTCTGTCATATACGGTTTTATTGATGCCACCGTCCATTGTTTCAATTTTAATCCCCGGCTTCCTCTCCACCCACTCGATGCAAAACCTATTACTGCTCATTGCTACTTGTTAGCCCGGCCTTACTAATGAGTCAGAGTTACCTCTCGGTGGGAGCTGTCCATCAGGACCCCAAAAGTGCCAAATTGAGAGCAGTGGCAGCGGACGTGTGTGGTGTTTCGGTACACAAGATCACAATCCCGTGCTGTCCAGAAGCCTGTGGGCTCAATCCTGCAATCATAGAGAAATCCAACCAGAGGCCTTCAAAGGAAAGGACATCTAGAGGCAGACAAGAAGACATTCCTAGAGAATTTTAGAAATATGCCTAGTACTGTACTTGGGCTTGCTTGTGACTGAAGTAGCTTTCAACAAGGATATCTCAAGTATCTGTTCTAAGAGTACAGGAGAGAACTAATGAATGAAAATCCTCAGAGCTGGATCTGAACAGCTCAGGTCTCAACAGTGGGGGAGAGCAAAATGCCATGACAGAGGACCATAGACAGAATAATCCTAGGATCATATGACCACCACGTTACTTTCCCCCCCTCATATTAATCTGAATTGGATTTTATTGGGAGGATCATATATATATGATATATTGTGCTGATACCTTCTTCATTCTGTAAATTGAGATGTAAGATAATTTAACTAAATTAAATAAAAACTAGGATCATTGCCTAGTATGGGAAGGAAACAGAGAATCAGTTTACCCTTGTATATTTTATACACTGTCTGACAACTTATTACAGAATCCTCCATACAAGAGTATGCTTTCTGATGTAAAGTGGCACAAAAACTCTGTTGGTATTTGACCTGTGGCAGCTATTTCACCGTTGCAAGTCATCATTTGTCAGTGTAGTTGTCAGATGATGAACATGCATATGTGAATGCTACCCTGCCTGTACTGTTGTTGTTGTTTAGTCGTTAAGTCATGTCTGACTCTTCGTGACCCCATGGACCAGAGAACGCCAGGCCCTCCGGTCTTCCACTGCTTCCCGGAGTTGGGTCAAATTCATGTTGGTAGCTTCAGTGACACTGTCCACCCATCTCGTCCTCTGTCGTCCTCTTCTCCTCTTGCCTTCACACTTTCCCAACATCAGGGTCTTTTCCAGGGAGTCTTCTCTTCTCATGAGATGGCCAAAGTACTGGAGCCTCAGCTTCAGGATCTGTCCTTCCCGTGAGCACTCAGAGTTGATTTCCTTCATAATTTATAAGTTTGTTCTCTTTGCAGTCCAGGGGACGCTCAAGAGTCTCCTCCAACATCACAATTCAAAAGCATAAATTCTGTATACTCTAAGATAAAATCATGAGCTCTTCCTGCCCCACCACCAGCATAGCACAAAAAAGTTGGAGTAAGGAGGAGGAGAACATGGGCATTGGATCTGCCCTGTGGGTCCTGCTGGCACTTTCAATCTCCTTTCAGGAGCATCAAGTAGGGTTTGATATGGAGGAAATTAATATTTCAGAACATATTTATTTATTTATTTACCAATCTCCTTTCAGGAGCATCAAGTAAATGACAGTAGGGTTTGATAGGGAGGAAGTTAATATTCCAGAACATATTTATTTATTTATTTATTGGATTTATACCCTGCACCATCTGGCAACCAGGCCACTCTGGGCGGCTAACAACAAAATAAACATCACAATCTGAAGAAAACAATAACAAAAATTCATACTTTCAAACAAGTATTTTAGCAACCAAACTTTGGGAACACAGTTTCAAATTAATATACAGGTAGTATCTGATCTCAAAGATTAAATCTAATAGCACAATTAATCCTAAACCTTGGAAGGCCTGTCAGAGCCATGGCTCATAATACATGTAGTGGTTGTGCCCCAAGGGCCAACGTTTTTTGAATAATGACAAATTAAAAAAAAAAACAGTCCTGGTTTGAGGATGTTGTTTCAAGGGGAAAATGCAACTTTACCACATAAACAGCTGACCTCAACTTCCAGTTGAATGATTGCCACCCATTGGAGGGGCATGACAGATATTATCATTTCCCATTGTTATGCCAAAATGTGTGATCTTAGCTGCGAGGCTGGTGATTGCCACCCATTGGAGGGACATGACAGATATTATAATTTCCCATTGTTATGCCAAAATGTGTGATTTAGGATTCATGGAAAAGCTGTCTGCTCAAGTCCTAGCTCTGCGAAGAAGTGCACACAGTTTTATAAAACCCGGTTCCCAGTTATAGACTTTATAAATTGAAATAAAAGGGTCACTCTCCTGCATCACATGCTGATAATACGGAAAGAGTCACTCAATGAACTGACACTTTTTGCAACCCTTTGATCGCATCCTCTGGGCTTGTGATTTTATGAATGGATTGTTACCTGTCTACTTCAATAGTCACAGGAATAAATAAAAAAAGGGGTGAAGGGCAGTGCTTGGCAACACCCTGGAGGAGAGAGTGAAGCCAAGGTGCAAGCAAGAAGGCCACTTACTGGCTAGAGCGATTCCACTGAACACAGAGAGGCTTGCTACGGTTGGCAGTCTCAAGCAAGTGGAAATCCAGCACCAAGGGTGCCTCCAAAGTGTTCTGGAGAAAAGTGTGATTCCTAAACACAGACACACTCACAATGGGGGAATTCATCACAGGGTTCTTGGGCAGCCTGGAAAGAACAAAGAAGTCTTGTTACGGGATGCTGCTTGCAACACAGTTTCACTTGGCTTGTTTCAAGACAGGTCACTGGCAGGATACAAATTATTACTGCTGAGCCTCAAACATCCTGGTTCTTACCCGTTCTAAAGACCAAGCACCTCTACAGGGCTCAGCAGGGTGGACTGTCCTGAGCAGAGTAGCCCTGTGCCCAGCAGAGGAACAAACAAGGGGGGGGGGGTCAGTACCTGAGGTTGCGTCGATCCACCTGGTAGCGGGCGGGCAGGAGCCCTCCGAGGGTACGGTAAATGATGAGGATGAGGATGGTTACAGCAGGTTCAGGTTCTGGCAGGGAGTGCTTTGGAGGTGAACTTTCCACCGTGTCATTAGTTTCGCTGTTTACAGGAATAGGCACAGCCGTGGTTGGAGCTGGATTTGGGGGAACAAAACAGGAAGAAACCAATAGCAGCCCTCTTGCCCTGCCGGATATTTAACTACGTTAGATCAAAGAAGATAAAGGTGGCCATCTCTGCTTCTACAGCCTCTTTGGTCTTATATTTTGACTTCAGCTGTACCCTGTGAACCCAAAAGACCACATTCAGTTCTTCTGAATTGTGAGGAAGTTTCCTTTCCTGACAAAGAGGATAGCAGTTTTCTAGGATGGACGCTGCCTTGCTGAGAAGGCGCTCCTGTGGCCTCCCACTCCGGGATCACACGTTCTCCCGGCACCTCTCTTGTGGGAACTTCCTCACAAAGCCTTCTGCTAACAGGCTCACACAACCTCTGTGGTAACTGAACAAGGACCTCTCTGAGTTCTGAAAGAAGAATGGCAACCTCATGGCAGGAATGTTTGTAAGGGCACAACAGTCTCAGCGCTCGACTTGGCTTAGGGAATGATGAAAGGCTGGGCCTGCAACACCTCCGTATGTCAAACCAAGCACACTGGGACGGAGAGAATGACTTCTGCTTCCCCTGGCCTTAGGTCTGGTGGCATTTGGAAGAGTCAGTTCCTTACCCTCTACTTTGTGGGGTGTAAGGACTGAAAGAGGAAGGACGACATGGGTGTGTGGATCCCACATAGCTTGGCCACGGAAGAGGGTGCTGTGGTAGCGGGGGTAGCGTCTCCTGAAGTGGGTGTGGTTTTCCATGCGATCAATGCTGAGCACTATATGGGGAAAAAAGAAAGAGGAGAGGTTTGATGTTTTAGAGCACAGCTTTCAGTGTGGATAAAGAGGAACAGCAAAGAGCTCCCATTTTTGACTGGAAAGCACACATTGATGTATGTTCATCTGTGAGGTATGTCTCACCCACTTACGGGGGCAGCCTCTATCTTACTCTCTAACCACAAAGATGAGCATAAGCCATGGAGTTACAGTAATATATACATCCATCTCTGTACCAAGAAAAACCTGTGAAACCTTGCCTGAAGTCAGAATTGTTGCATGTGGTTATTATTATCATATTTTCTCTCTTTACACAGGAAATGTTCAAGAATGTTCAAGTCTTGTGACATTCCTTGTCTCCAGCCTGGGAAGAACACAATGTGCACTTTCCCCTTAAGATTTCTGCAATTTGTGCAAAATATCTCTGTGCAAATCTAATGTATTTTCCTTTCCTGAAGCTGAAAGGGAGAGAGACTCCTGCATGGACCAGAGACTTCTGTGCTTCGGCATTTACTTAACAAAACAAGGCTGAGAAACCTATCGCCCATCAAATGTTAATGAACTATTACCTCCCCATTGGCCAACCCAGCTGGGACAGATAGGGACGAGAGACCTGCAACATCTGGAGAGCTACTAGTTCCCTAATTCTTGTGCTGTTTTGCAAACCAACACAACAGCTCCCTGGTCTAGTCACCAGCCTCCACTCTAGGTACCTAGAGAAGCTAGACCATGTCAAGCAGACCATCAGGGTGGCTCATTAGCTACCATTTCAAAATCAGTCAGGGAGCCTTTCACTCCCTATAGTGCGTATACTTACCAATGTTGGGAGTCACCACACCAACAGGGTTGAGGTAGGTGAGTTTCATGTTGCTGGCCAAGGTGCCTGTGTACTCTCTCAGCTGTTCCATCAGGCCCGCGCTGCCATGGTGGTTCTGTCTCAACACATCCCAGTGCTCCTGGTTCTCTAAGGCCAGAACTGAACTGCCAACCCGCAGGAGGTTCTGCAGAGGTAGAAGGTTAGAAGCCTTGAGGCTGTATCAGTGAACATCCCCTGCCTTTTGAAAAATCACCACCCCAGTTCTTTGGAAGTCAGTGGGTACACATTTTATTCTTTTGTTTATTGCATTTATACCTCTGTTCCTTCCATAATAGCCCAAATCCTGCCATGTAATTTATGCTGGCATAGAGGAAATGATGCCGCCGCAGCAGCAGTGGGCTAGAGCAGTGGTTCTTAACCTTTGTTACTCCGGTGTTTTTGAACTGCAACTCCCAGAAACCCCAGCCAGCAGAGCTGATGGTGAAGGCTTCTGGGAGTTGCAGTCCAAAAACACCTAAGTAACAAAGGTTAAGAACCACTGGGCTAGAGTCTCCACTGTGCTTCTTGGTGGTACCTGAGTTGGGTGGCTTCACACACAACCTGGAATGTAAGTAGGGATCCTTTAGAATTAAAAAAAAAAAGATTATTTGATTTTTTAAAAAGGTCCCGCTTGGGTTCTGGGCAGTGTGCAAAGCCACCCAACACTCATGCCATGAAGAATGATACTTTGGACACATCATGAAAAGACCAGACTCTATAGAAAAACTGGGAAAAGTAGAAGGCAGCAAGAAGAGAGGAAGATTAGATATGAGATGGATTGACTCAATAAGGGAAACCATGGTCTTGAGTTTGTAAGAGCTGAGCAGGGTTGGTCATGATAGGACACTTTGGAGGTCACTTGCTCATGGGATCACCCATCAGTCAGAAGCAATTTGAAAGTGTGTAACAACAAATCAAGATGAAGTATAGACTAAGATACATGCAGAAAGAGGGAATCTAGATAAAGAAAGGGCACCATATTTTGAGACTAACTGCTTCTGTTACAGGAATTCCTTATTGTCAGCAGACAATATAATTTCATATATGTGCTTAAAACATTGGAAAGGTTGTGAGAAAAGAGGAAGCTACCCAGGTTTGTGAATCCTTACAAGAGCAGCAGCCTGAATATGGCAGCCCCATATTCTTCACCTCTGATCTAAGCTAGGAATGATCTTGCTGCTGGTCGGGCAGGAGCGCGAGCTTTCCATCAACTAAATTTTTATTCCAGGTGTTTCCATAAAATGTTGGGTAATGTGAACAGCCCCTCACCTCATTGAAGTGGGCATCTTGGGTGGCTGTCAAGCCGAAGCCATGCTGCCTGTTCTCAAATGCCATCAAGTGGGAAAGCAGGCGGTACGTGATGTGCACATCGTTGCCAAAGTAGCGCTCCATCTGGTCGGTCACTGCGCGTAACTGGAGGGCCAGCTTCTTGGCTTCTATGGTGTTTAGCTCTGTCTCATTCCTCTCCAGACCCTCAAGCTACCAACATAGAAAACAGAGAAGGGAGTCAGGAAGAACCTCCCAGAATCAAAATCTAGTTCCCAACCTGCTGTTTTAAAGGGACACATGTTAGAATAAAAAGGGACTTCTTATTCTGAAGTACGTTAACATTGGAGATTGCTGGAAACCTGGACTCTGGGAGTGAGAGAGCACCATTCAGAACAAGCTGTTGCCAAGAGGGAAAAATCCCTGTGTCAATGGCCCACAGCTAGCACTTAGTCTCTTAATCAAGAAATGATATCCCAGCAATTTTTTTTCCTCACGAGAAAAGTAACATCTGGTTAACAGATGGTGCTGCAATTTAATCCTCAGCTTAAAAGATGGCAGGGTGAAACAATGATCTCATGTTGGAACCTACCAATTTAAATAAGAGACTGCTGAAACAGTTTCAAGAACATGTCTTGTCTGTCTCTTCCCTCAACATTTTTTTTACATTTAATCTAATATTGTTTTCCTTTATTACATTATTCCCCCCCCCTTTTTTTCTGTCCTGTTTGAAGAAATTATGTGAATCAAAGCTAGAACTACCCATGATGAGAACATTTGCTCTGCTTAATGTCTTCCCCCTTCAGACTGGGCCAATCAATATGGAGATATTTTATTTGGTTACAAAATGATATGAGTGTTGCTCAGATATAAAGAAAACTCCTCAAGGGATCTGTATAGACAATTCTTTATCCATGGGACCAGTTCTCCCTTTACTAGGTTGATATTGGTCCTGATCCAGTGTAAGCATATAGCGAAACATGAGAAACCTCTTGCATTGACAGCAGGGGGAAAGAGAAACAATAGGTAGGTTACTCACCATACTCACTCAACAATTTTTTTACATTTAATCTAACCTGTAACATCCTTTCCCTTCAAGAAGCAACAGGGCAAACACAGAAGGACCAACTGATTATTAAGCAGCATGCAAGGATCCTATCCAGTGCTTCAATTTTTTTAAAAGGCGCTCATCCTACTTTTTGGCAATTGGTACAATTGTGTGTTTTGCATATATGCACAAATGGTGCAGTCTGGGGAAAAGATGGGATATGATGCACCAGAACTGGCTCCGTCCATTTTTTCTTCTTTTGCCCAAAACATTACAACTTTGCAGAAAACATCATTCTTGCCAAAAATGCACAAACTCTGTTGAGAACAGGAAGAAATGGCTCTTTTCTTCACTGGGGAGGAGGAGAATTTCAGTAGCAGCTTGACAGGAGTCCACTCTTTCAGCCCAAATAGATTTATACAGGATATATGGCTTCTCCATATTGGCTTTATTTTTGTTAAATAAATCACGGCACAGTATAAAATGTCAGGTGTTGTTGTTCCTCTGAGGTTGTTTTTACCTAACTTTCAGACCCGCTAAGGACCAGATGTTTTTTATTATGTCCTGATAGGTAAAACCATAGAATTCAAAGAGGGTGTGCTTTCTTTTTCATATGACCGTAACAAACCACAATTTGCACTATTTCACCTATTCTGAGTCAATGGAAGCAGGCTACCAAGTTTCATGCAGCATTTCACAAAAACAAGTTCACCAGTCCCCCTCAACACACACACACACACACACACACACACACACACATTCAGAAAGCAATCTTTCTGAATGAGATCTGTGCCTAGGGGAGCTACTGAATTCAGCTCAGTTATGCTTCTCTGGAAAATCTGCCTGCTAGTATCAGCATGACTAATGACTCAGCCAGGACAGGAAGGAGCAGTAAACAGATTGGGATTAATGAGTAAAACCCTGATTTACAGTATATGAGGAATGGTTTCTGACCCCCAGCTGTCTAACAATACCAACAATTTCCTAAGTAAGATTGTTTTGTTTTGTAATAAATGTACATTATTTTCCAAAATAAACAACAAAAACATACATTAAAATACAAACATACGTCACGATATACCGTGCCTCCCCACCAAAGATCAAAATTCCCCTCAGGATTTATTTGTTTGTTACACTGTATTGTTTTGTTTTGTATTTCATGCTATATACTCCATCTCACTCTGGAAATATAATGATTTTTGTGCTGGGGGTATGCTTTTTAAAAATTTTTTTACAAATACATGTGTTAAGAAAGCATTCCATAAAAAATTTTTTTTTACAAATTCATGTGTTAAGAAAGCATTCCATATCTCCTTAAAACAATTAGTTTTCAATATTCTCTTTCTAACTTTCAGTTAACAGGTTAAATTAGCATAAATAGCAATATCCCACATTTCTTTGTACTAATCTTTGATGTTAAACTGATTATAATTTTTCCAGTTCTTTGCAAATATCAATGTTGCTACTGTTCTCATAATAATGATTAATTCTTACTGCCCTGGTTCTAACTGAATATTTCCAATCACACATAACAGAGCTACCATATTTTTGGACACCTTTGTACTTCAATACCCACAATTTCCTTTATCTCTTTGAAAATTACTGTCCATTCCTCTAAGTTAGATTGTTAGACAATAATATTTCATGGTGAAGTGGGGGAACCCAAGTGGATTTTTGTGTGCAATGACTTGCAAGCCTGTTTCTGGCACTGATCCCCAATGCCCAAGCTAAGCATGTGTTCCAAGGAACTCACAGCAAATGTCTGCTTTCCTCGGCCACTATTTTGCACCTAATTTCTGATTTTTACACTAAAACACATTGCAGATCTCTCAAGTCTGAGCTGGGAGGGAAGCTGGGAATGCTGTCCCCTGTGAAAGGTGCTGACTGCAAGTCCTACATTCTTTCCATCACACAAACATACAGAAGATTCCTGTATCCTTGATTTGGTGCTTTGGCCCAACAATTATTATTTTTTAGTTCTGTTCTGCGATCCACAGGATTCCTTCCCATGAGATTCCTCAGGGACAATATCGCCCAACACTACTCTAATCTTCTGTCTAAAATGTGCAGACTGTACTGCAGCCAAAACTGTGCTCACAACCCAGGGTTCAATCCCAGGTAGCTGGCTCAAGGTTGGCTCAGCCTTCTATCCTTCCGAGGTCAGTAAAATGAGTACCCAGCTTGCTGGGGATGCAATGTGTAGCCTGCATAATTAACTTGTAAACCGCCCAGAGAGAGCTTGAAGCACTATGGGGCGGTATACTGGAAGCACGCTTTGCTTGTTGCCAGTTTGATTCTTCATTCTTGTGGACCCAAAAGGATGGTTGCTTGGTGATCTGCATGAACTACTCTGCTGCCTATAAAATAATCAAGGGGTTTTTTTGGCCAACAAATCAATGCATAAACATTCCTGAAAGATAAAGGATTTGACAGCTACTGCTTTAGTGCAAATGCACAAATAAGGCTGAGGACAGGACTTTGAGAGATGTCACATCATTGTGCAAACTATACTATGGCTCCCAGAGGCTGATATGTTTGGTGTGGGCTTTCCACAGTCACTGTATAGTTTTTACACACCAGATGAACTGAATAAGCCTCACAGTGATGATTCCCAACAGCTCACCTGGGCATGCTAAGGGTGCAAGGAAATGGTGAAGTTGTCCTGGGCTGGACTGGACTAAACTGGGTTACCGGAAGAATTTAGAAAGATCCTTGCAACCACAGGTGTGGCCAGGCTTCTTGTTCTGAAATCCCCTGATCCTTGCAGCCACATGCAAGGATTGGGTGGTTTCAGAACAAGACGTCTCACCACACCTCAAAGAGACCCTATTTACCCATTCTTCCTTCTCAGCTTCCACAACCCCCAATCCTCTCTTATCTCTCCCCACCGTGAGAAGGAACGGAAAGCTGGATTTTCTTTTTAAAAATTTATTGATGGATAACTGACATATCACTGCATCCGTTTGCTATCAAAGTGAAATAGCACTAGATTGTAAAGGGGGAAATTGGCTCCTATGTCCTCTCCTATCATTCCCTCTATGGGAAGCAGGAGAAAACTGGATTGGTCCTATTTTTTGGAAAGTGACATATCACTTCCTTGGCTTAACACTCAAGTGACACAGCAGTGAAACTGGTGAGGGAAACCCCATCCCAGTGCAGCTTTGGTTCAATACTGTTGATCACACGTGCCGGAAACTGAATTAAAATGGAGCAATCATACCTGCAGTAAAAAAATAAAAAAGAAGAATAGCTCCTGACAATGACCAAAACAGGTGTGGGAAGACCTTGAGGAATGGACTGGTTCAAGATTGCTCGCACGTCATGTGGTTGCCAGAAAAAGGAGCTAACCAGCCCATGCCCCCCAAACGAACCAAACTATGGGACAAATCCCCCATCTGATGGTGCAGTAAAAGAGGTTTACCAAGGCTGAGAGTTCCTTGAAGGCAGGAGAGGTGCAGTTGAAGAGATCAGGTTCCAGCCAGCCTCTTGCCTCATCACAGTATCGAACTGCTGCACCTGAGATAAGGAGGAATATCTAAGTGAGACTCTGAGAGGCCAAGAAGGCTGTTTCCTTCCTATTCTTGCCCAGGAGAAAGTTGCCACAATGAGAGCACTATGCCAAATCAGACACACTGAGCAAAGCACTGGCAATAACACCAACCGTGAAGATCAGTACCTGTGAAGGAGCAGGTTCAGAGGAGGCCATATATATGCAATGTTGGCAATAATACCAACCGTGAAGATCAGTAGGTTCAGAGGAGGCCATATATATGCAATGTAGTACATTTCAATAGTATCTAAGAAGCATTTGTGATGCTAACAGTCCTGATTTTGTCTTCATTAATTCCAGTTTTGTAAGAGTTTCCCCCAAGTGCGGGGATTAATTGTTTTCAAGCCGGGAAAGTCACAGAGAAAGGAATTCATTAGTCACAGATTTTCTCTAATGTGTCTAGCATATCACATGATCGAACAGTTGTTCCATGAATGAATAGATAAAAGAAGAGTAAGACACCATGTTATGTGAATGTATGCCACTGAGGCATAAAGTCTTTGAGATCTTTCAAATCCCTAAGTCTTTCTGGAAGATGATTATCAGTTACTCAGTTACTCAAGCCCATGATAGTGGATACAGGCAGAACTGCTGCAAACTGGAGTCAATGTGGAATTCAGATTTTATTGGCTGATATATCCCTTTATCAGTCTTCTGGCTGAATGTTACCTTTCCTGGTCATGCATTCCTGTGAATGAACCCTCTCTCTCTCACACACACACTCAGCAGCTGTGGAACCCACCACAGAAAAAACAAAGCTCTCAAATCCTGGCAGTGCTATTTGAGGTACACCCTGAACTGCTCCACGTCCACAGCTTCTCTGTTCCATGTAACGTTCTGCTGAAGCTGCTTTTCAAGCAAAACATCAAGAACGATCTGCTGTGGGCAAGTAAGAGTGTGTGTGTGTGTGTGTGTGTGTGTGTGTGTGTGTGTGTGTGACAGAGAGAGAGAGAGAGAGAGAGAGCGTCTGTGTGTGTGTGTAAAAGCAAGCCTGAGGCTTAGAGACTTACATATTTTAATCAAAGACAGCTGATGATCCCAAATTGAATTAAATGCACACAATGTATCACTATAGTGAAAAAATCCCACATTCTATCACACAATCATGGCTATCCAGCTTTCTAAAACACTTGAAGGTCACCAGTATCCCCAAAGCCAGAAGGCCCACATCAATGATATCCACACAGAAGCAATGCAGATATCTACTGGGAGCTTTTAGGCATGCTTCATGTCATCATCAATATGGCAAACAGCACCAGTACCACGATTAGGATCACCGACACCCTCCTCCCCAGTGGCACCAGTAATGACTTCATCAATGACCTGTGAGAGCAATGGCCCGTATGAGAAAGACATCAGTATGGCAATAACATTTGTAATGCCTTATAATTCTAGGTGTGGCAGGTCATTTCGGCTGCTTTTCAAATGGAAAAGGTTTTGTTTTTTTCCCAGGATGAGGCTCACACAAGTCAGCACTGGGGCCACAGCAAATGTGTTAGGTATGACTGAGTCCCCACATGAGGACGCTGATGTTGAACAGACTGTCTATGAGCCAAATCTGGCACAGTACGGTTTTCCCAGAGGTCACTAGAGCTTCACAGTAGCACAGCACAAAATTTGCAAGCACAAGATTGCAGGTACTCCTCCAGGCCACTCGTGTTAAAGTAACTCAGTTAGACAGTGCAGGAGAGGCTCCTTTCCTCCACCAGAGGCCTGCTGACAACTAGAATAAAAAAACACTGAATGGAATGAGCCAAATGCTGTCAAAATCAGAGGGCAAGCAGATGTAGATCTGAATCAGTGGCCAGCCTCTGGGTGACAGCAGTAGTTAAGATTTGTGCATCCCAATTAACAATAGCAGCAGCAAAATGACTTTCCCACTTGCCCTAAATTATACTGCTGAAATGAAAAAAAAAAAGCCTGGGGTAACGGAAGAATGGAATTTCGCAATGGAAGCGCTGTGAGCTGGGTTTGGGTCTGGTACTCCAAACACATTTCTGGGCTTGGGAGTATTTAATTTTAAATGTAGAGTGGGGAGAGTCACACTAGCCTTGGAGGATGGAGCTCTACATTCTACCTGTTGAATACATATTAGGGATTTAACTCTGGGGAAAAAGTATCTAGTGGCATCAGCAATATGATCATCTATTCTTTCCTATACTTTCCATATGTGTCAACTACAATGTCCATCATCCTCATCACCCAACACTGGGATGATGAGTGGTGTAGTTCTCAGATTAATCAATTATGTGGTGGACAATTTTGAAAGTGTGAAAAAGCTATAAAATTTAGATAAAATCTAAAGTGTAAAATATAAATAGTGAACAGTGTTGTTTGTTTTGGGAGCAGGGAGCCTGCTTACTGAACAGAGGGGAGAGATGCAGCCAGATACTGTACATGTGTCACAAGAAGAGCAAAGACATTGGTGGTGAGAAACGAACTTCCCCCCTCCTATTTGAAGTTATAGCTGTCTTGAGTCCCAAATGTCTCCCCTTATAATTATGCTGCTGCCTCCTTTTTATTTCTTTACTAGAGAGCAGTTTTTTTGGGGGGGATGCTCCACACATTACTTTATTAGTTTTTACATCATGATGTCTAAGGCTAAGTATAAAAATATCACATGTGATTGCAGCCATCAAGTGTTTGCAAACACTTAGATTTAGATAGAGTTATTTTGTAAGCAAGACTTGATTACAGCTCCTTCCTGAATGTACATTTGGTGAAACATATGGAAAAGCCAAAGCGCATCTTCCTTTTTTCTTCCCTAATGAGCCAACAGCATGAAACCCGAGAGATCAGGTAGCAATGAACTTATCAAGTTCTTCCTAGTTTTCCCTACCAAGTCTAAACAAAACAGCCCCCCCAAAGCCATTCCCTACCAAGGGTCAAGGTTCGTGGAGAAGGCCAGGGGCTTTCCATACCAAACATCAATTGGTTGGAGCTCTGAATTCTCCAGCAGATTAGATCATTCCCAAATCCATAAAATAAAAGAACAGCAAGAAATAAGCACAAGCAGAAGCACGTTGTATGTGAGGGGGGGTTTTACTTTTTGCAGGTTAGTGTGTGGTGAGAAGGTAAAGGAGCTGAGGGGCACACAAGGAAATCGGAGTCAGGCACGGCATTCCTAAGAGAGCTGGTGGCCGAGCCAGGATCTGGGGAAAGAGTGGGGTTCGGGGGGAGCCTCAGGCAGGAAGCAGGGAATGGAAAAGCCACACAGAGCCGTGGAAAGCGGAGAGCAGGGAAGAGAGCAACGGGGCTTACCTGCACCACGCAAGCCTGTGCAGGGGGAAGAGAAAAATGTAAAGAAAAGGGACAACATTAAAAGCTTTAAAGCAATTGATATGCCATGTGTGTCTCCTGGGATTGGGGGCATCTCTCTAGAAGATGGAACTGTACCAGAAATTCCCACTTCAATACAATAATCCAGTGTTTTTACACATCTTTGGTTTGAGGCAAGGTTTGGTATAATGTTTTACACTGGTAAATGTTCTGAGGTGGGAGGCCTACCATCTCCAGGGACCTAAGAAATCAAACTTTCCTCATTACCGTGTTCAGAATCATCAATCATTCATGTGAGAAAATGTATGAGCACACATACTGTATACAGTACAATATACTGTAAAGCTCTCTCCCTCCAACTGCAGTGCTTAGAACAGAACATGTACAACATTGTGATGGGTAAGTTTCTGTGGGTTTGCCTTTGAACAGACCTGCACTTAGTTTGGAACAATCCTCATCAGCTCCTGTTACAATATGCGCCCATTCTGAGTTCCAGGTTTCACCGTGTTCCCAGTGATGTCATCATAAACACAGTGAGGCCTAGAATCCTCCACCTTCTATGCTCCTTCACTAACACTCTTTCCTGGTACAGGCTAAAAACTGTCAGGGCTGTGGCTTTACTTAGGCCCCAGAATTCTGCAGCAGCAGCAATGTTTCATGCTGCAGATGGCCTGGGAACTGAAGTGCTCTAGACGGCTTGGTATGCACAGTGTTGTGGCCATGAGGAAGGCTGTAGCCGCCTGTCTTACTGGCATTTCCCACCTCTAAGCAAATTTCAGCAGAAAAGGGAAGGGGCTCTCTTTTGGGACCTCTGAACTCTGGCTGCCTCAATCATACAGTTCCTTGTTTACTGTAATAATACTCCATTTATCACTACCGAGGGCACCAAACCTGTTTGAGTCTAGTTCTCAAATCCAAATTTCTTCAGAACTTTGCTGATAGTAATGGCTCCCAGCAATATGCTAGGGCAGTACTACAAGACAAAGCCAAAAACACACAACAAAAACAGAAACTATTCAATGCCTTAGGAGGACAGATATTATGCCTTGCCCACAAACACATCTTCCAGTAGGTGGAAAACACTTACCCAGTGAACCTTTGGGACAAGGCACCACAGCTGGAAGGCCAAACTTGGTCTGAGGCCACCACACCCCGGCTTTTAGAGACTTAGGACATGCATGATAGAGGACTGTAAAGCCAAACACAGAAACAACATTACCTGAAGACTGAAGAAGAGGCTATGTTATACAGAACACTTTAAATCTAGGGAAAGCAGCCTTTTGGAGAGATTCTAAAGGATCTCCCAAAACAGATCAGCCTAACATTGAGAAAGGATCTGGATAAAATTGTACCAAGCCAGTGCTAAGCAACATATAAAAGACAGTAATATAAGACCAAGACTACACAAGCAGATGATTTTACGCACACATAGTGGCCCAGTGTGAGAAAATCCAAACTTATTGGAGGGAACATATAGAACTAATTAAGTTAAGTATGAGGGTTTGAACTTCCAAAGGAACTTCCACTGAATCAGGTATAAAAAAGAGAGGAGAACAACATGGACCACACCCAGCTCCCAAAGCTATTTTGTTGCTCCCCAAAACACCGGGATTAAATTTCAGAAGCATACTGCACAACCTAACTGGCTATGTCTTCAGTGTGGAACATGTATTGCTTTGTGTTATCTTTAATATTGTTCATATTGCTTATTGTATCTATTTTTTTTAAAAAAAAAGATAGACTAAGATACTACCACCATCAATGTCTTGTTTAAATTTTAATCTGTAATCTTACCAGATATTCTATCAGCACAGTTGTTCTCCTAAGAAGAATCAGTTTAAGATACATGGCTGGAATCTTGTTGATTAGCACAGTAAATTGCAATTAGAGTAGGCCCATTTGAATTAATGGAACTTACAGAACCAGCTCACCAAATTCCATACTGTTTCAGTGGGCCTGCTCTAGCTGTGACTTACTATGCTAAGTAACAAGATTTTGGTCTCTCTTTCATTACAAAACCCAAGTATGCCAAAAAAATATTACTTAATGAAAAGAGACATATTATTCCTTCCAAAATATGGGATGAAAGAATTGTTGCCCTCTAGTTTAGTGGTTCTTTTTTAGTTTTTACATCACAATGTGTAAGGCTAACTGATTTTTACAGTCAGATGTGAATGCAGCCAGATGTTCTTGGAGTTCTTTTTTAGTTTTTACATCATGATATGTAAGTCTAACTGTAAAAATATCAGATGTGAATGCAGCCAGATGTTCTTGGATTGTAACACCCTGAAATTCTGGCCATCACAGCTGGTAGTGAAGGTTTCTGGAAGTTTTACTCCAGGAATACTTGGGGATCCAAGGTTGAGAACCACTGCTCTAGTAGGCAGCACCACCCCATGACTTTGACCTTGAGTTCGACACTCACTGGGTCCTTCAAGAACGTTTAGGAGGACTGTTTCTGTTTTGTTTTTGTTCCAGAGAAAGCCTATCTTTGCCGGAGAGTAGGATCCTAATTTTGACAGAAGGGACCACCTCATGATTTTGGTTCCAGAGAAAGCCAGAGTAGGATCCAATTTTGACAGAAGGGACCACCTCATGATTTGTTTAAACACACACACATCTTCTGGGACACGTACTCACCCTGGCAGCCACTGGGAGTCACCTCTGCAAAAGGGCTGTCACAGCTGTTACACTGTCGGCCAATCACACCTGGCCTGCAATGGCATTGGCCCGTTTCCTGATCGCAGGAACGTGAGGAGGAGCCAATGGGGTAGCAGTCGCAGGGAAGGCAGGTGTCACTCCCTCTCGGATGGTAATGAAATTCCTGAAAGCCGAAGGGAGAGAGAGGGGCAGGGTAGGCGGTTAGAGAGCTGGGTCACAGGAAGAGGAATGGAGGGGGCAAAGGGCAGACACAACTGCAGGCAAAGGGGAAAGGGCCAAAACAAGGAGCCTCACAGGAGAAATGGGGGAGGCCTGGTGGGACAAAGAGAGTGCCGCCATTAGGACAGGAAGATTATACAATAACATGAGCACTGTCTTCCTCTCTTTTCGAAAGCTCTGTCCCTTCTGAGGTTCAACAATGCTTTCGGACATCTTTTGCTGCAGTGGACTTTCCTTATCGACCACATGACATCCGAGGCACCAGCATGTAGGGCACCTTCTTTATCTAAAGCAGAGGTGGGCAACATAGGTGCCATGCACAGGTACCCACACAGCATGAATTCATCTTCACCGGCACCCTCACCTTCCCAATCCCCCCACCCATTTTAATTTTTTTGTTGTTGTTGAAATGAAGTGAGATTGAAATGCTATGCCCTCCAAATTGGCTCAAAATATTAAGTGCACCAGGAGGTATGTGGGCAGTTTTGTTTTGAGGGTGTGTCCCCCAACGCTCTCCCAGAGTTTTAATTTTTCAAAGAAAAAAAAAAGTTGACCACTTAGAGGGCCCAGAGGAGAATTTTTCGATTTTTTTAAAAAAACTGCCCTCCAAGGTCTAGAGAGGGATGGGTACAGTTCTCAGATTTCTGGCAGTTCCCCACACTTGCTTTAAAGGGTTCAAGTTGCAGAACTGGATTGTGGTCAAGGAGTGACATGCTGATATGGGCAGAAGGACCATCAGCGAGAGGCAATAAGCAAAGGGAATGGGCAGCCCTTGGAAGAAGGAGGCTGCTCTTGCATGAAGCCCCACAGCATAAAGAGGCCAGACAAGAAAAATGAAAAGGTAATGGGAATGGAGAGCAAGGTGACATGCTGTGTCTCCACCACAGCCATACATGAATGCAGTGAGCCAGAAATGGGGCCGAAAGGCAAAACTGCAGATTATAAGAGGAATAAGTGTTATTCTGGATTTTAAGCATAGCAGAGCTCCAAAACACCTCTGCAAAGCCCTCAGCTTATCCATCCGCTCACCTTACAATGACATTGTCCGTTGGTTTTATTACAGTCCGGGTCGAATCCTCTGGCTGCATCGCAGTTGCAGGGTCCGCATGTTGGATTCCCCCACCAGCCCTTGGGACACTGTTGATCCATCCTGCAGGGGAAAATGCCAGATGGAGGGATGCCTGCTGTTCTGCACCCAAGGCACCACATGCTTGCAGGTCTGACAGCCAGCAGAAATACAGCAGCGCGGCAGGGGAATGATTTTTCTACTTAATTGATGTAAGGTTTGTAACTGCTGGCATAGTTGTGTTTCACTGCTGGTACAGTTCTTTGATTTCAGCCACTTTGAAAACCATGTTCAGATAATACTTTTGGGGGACATTTTTCAATTGCTAGGAAGAATGTTTCCAGCCCACTTTGCACATTTTCCCCATAAATTGCTCTGCCCATTCAGAGTGAGGACAGTATCGACCCAGGAAGCCCTCCCCTCATTTCTAGCGGTATCATAAAGCCAAATCTGATTGTTTCCATGGTGTCCCAGTATAAGCATGTTTACTATATGGCTTTCCAATGAGCTTGGTCGATTGTTTCTGAGTTGGACGTGCCTCTGTTTCTTTATCTATGGTGCAGAGGCAGCAGCATGTTAAAGAAATCATGGCAGCACATAAGGATTCTCAGAGGTAATATTTTGGCCTTACCTAAAAGCTGCCCTTCGTGTCTCCTCCTTGCCCCAAAACAAAATAGGCAGACATTTGGCACAGAAACCTAATAACTGCAACAGTGTGCAGCACATGGAATCAAGCAAGCACGGTGTGTCTATTATCATCCATTATGATGTAAATTTTTATTAAGATTGCCATCTAACTATTTCTTCCCCATCTGCTCTCATTATACTAAACAATCACCTAAAAAGAGACAAACATTCCAAAAGCAATCACCCATTCTTCCAGACAACAATCAGGCCAGAAGGAGGTGAACATTGATAAGAAAGAAAAGACGGAATGCCTCTTATATTCTGTGTCGTATGTCACCATGCATCTTTATCACACCTATTTTGCATAGGGAAAATACTGTCAGGATGGTGTGCTGTAAAATGCAGAGAGAGCTAGCTGATAAGCACTGGAAACAGAAAGTCTGTTCTGAAATAGCAGCTATGAGCTTTCAACATGGGTTCTCAGCATCAGGCTGGCAGTATCAGAACTTACTTACAAATAATTGGTTGCGTAGCTGCTATGATTATGACGATGATTTTTATTATTATGATAATGATAATGATGATAATGATAATAATAATAACTATTATTATTGTTGTTGTTGTTATTGTTATTGTTATTGGAAAAGTGTGAGGGCAAGAGGAGAAGGGGTTGACAGAGGATGAGATGGATGGACAGTGTCATCGCAGCAACCAACATGAATTTGACCGAACTCCGGGAGGCAGTGGAAGAGGGCCTGGCGTTTCCAAACATCATGGTCTTTTCCAGGGAATCTTCTCTTCTCATGAGATGGCCAAAGTATTGGAGCCTCTGCTTCAGGATCTGTTCTTCCAGTGAGCACTCAGGGTTGATTTCCTTCAAAACGGATAGGTTTATTCTTCAGTCCAGGGGGCTCTCAAGAGTCTCCTCCAGCACCACAATTCAAAAGCATCAATTCTTCGGTGGTCAGCCCTCTTTATGGTCCAGCTCCAATAAATGGGAAATAATGTGGATCAGACTTTCCCAATCCTTGAGCATTCACAACATTGTCTGTCCTTGTAGCCATGCTCTAAGTTACATTTCCATGCAACTTCCTAAATGCTGTGCAAAATATGGGGCTTACAAAACAGCACAGAGTTCACCATATATATATTTTCCTTCCTTCCTAAGACTGAAAAAATGTGTGTGTATGTGTGTTGATGTGTTTGTGAGAGAATATGAGAGATAGGGAGAAGGACAGAAGGGAGACAGAGAGATTAGGAGGAAAGAGAAAAACATAATTTCCATGCATGCTGCACCTGAAACCTATTTGTTGAAATTACTTCAAGGAGAATTTACTGTGTCAAAAGTAGGCTGTGAACCAGCCATTAGACAAGGAATAAGAAGACACAGAAAGCAAAATTCAGTCATCAGGAACAAAAGCTAGACGTCACCATTCCTCTTCTCAGTGGCCTACCCATTAACGATTAGATATGCCCAGCATGGAAGGGAACATAGAAAGTGGAGGAATAGCAGATCTCAATCGGGCCCCGTGCATGTACGCCGGAAAATCCATGAAGACTTCTTGATCTCACCTGTGTTCACAATACTGCCCAAAGTGATTTTCTCCACACTCACAGATATAACCATGGGGAGCCCCTGGCTTCCGCCGACATACTGACTTGTTCTTGCATGGGTTCAGATGACAGGCATCAACACAGTTCCCCCCGTAATACCCTGGAACGAGATACGGATAATCACTTCAGACTAGAAAAACAGCCAGCCAGCCAGCCAGCCAGCCACACAATACTGCCCAAAGTGATTTTCTCCACACTCACAGATATAACCATGGGGAGCCCCTGGCTTCCGCCGACATACTGACTTGTTCTTGCATGGGTTCAGATGACAGGCATCAACACAGTTCCCCCCGTAATACCCTGGAACGAGATACGGATAATCACTTCAGACTAGAAAAACAGCCAGCCAGCCAGCCAGCCAGCCAGCCAACCAACCAACCAACCAACCAACCAACCAACCAACCAACCAACTACACACACAGAGAGAGAGAGAGAGAGAGAGAGATTATACAAGAGCCCCTATTTAGAAAAGCGTTGAAAGTATGGAAACAACTCAAGTGAGAAGTTATTAAGATGGACCCCAACATATAAGAGCCCCCCCTTCAAATTAAAATACCAAAAGCTGTGATCAGAACGAGAACTAGAAAAAGGGAGACAAAATGTAAGGTAACAGACAGGAACCGGAGGCTGGGCTGCTTGGTCCATCTCCTACCTGGCTTGCATACACAGGAGTAGGTTTGCCACTTGTCCCGGCAGAGGCTGTTGAGGGGGCAGGGGCTGGAGTCACAAGGGTTGGGCACCGTACATCCCGCCTCCACGTTCAAAGTGCTGCTGGGCTTGGGCAATGCAGTCCCTGCGGCTGTTTCACCTAAGCGTACTCCCTGAAACCCAAGTGGGAGGGGAAAAAAGCATTTCTGATTTCCACTGTAAGGGCTGGACGTCCATGAAAAGAACTCGGGTGACACAAACAGTCCGGTCACAAGTATAGAGAAGGCTGCCTTCTATCACATCAAGCCAATGATCCAATTAGGCCAGCCTCCTGATTAGCAGCAGCTTTCCAGGGCTTGTGGCAACTTTTCTTTTTCAACCCACCTGCTCTACCATGGAGCTATAAGCTCTCCCAGTTTTACAAGAACAGGCTCTGTGGAGCTGCCAGTCATCCAGGCTCTCTTGCGAAGCACGCTGCTGGGTCATTTCCCCCCCTCCCGCCCCCAGTGGCAGCGGCAGTTTTGGAAAATGATCCAGTCGCTTTGCCAAGTGTTCTCCTCTTTTTAAATTCACCAAACCTTTTGCTTTCAATTATCCACAGGCTCAGACCGTCCTAAAGAAATCTCCCTATCTACCTAGAGAGGGGGCACAGACCCTGAAAAAGGAAGAGCCTGTGACTTTGTAGTCATCTGGCTTTGTAGGTTTTAAATTTCCCATTTCTGAATGCTCTGCCCATCTCTGCAACAAAATGCGGAGAAGCTTGCTGGGACTCACCTGGATGCAGCCCTCCAAACCATGGTGCACTTTACCAGATTCTAGGATTCCCCCAACATGGAGGTGTTTCACCCTCAGACCATGCAGGTCATTGCCAACCACTACAGTATCCTGGGGAGAAAAAAGAAACCAGGCTCATAGAAATTTTATATGAGCGTCCACTACTCATACCTTTTACCAGGGTTCAAAGATTACTGTTTATTGGATCAATAACAGATTCCTAGCAGCTACTTAAGAAAATGGAGGAGAGGCAGGCAACCTCTGGTTCCCCCAGGTATTGTTGAACAACAGGCACCACCAGACCTAGAAAGGACAGTCAGTGATGGAAGAAGATGGGAATTGCAGTCCAACATTATCTGGAAGACCACAGGTTGCCCATCCCCTGCTTGATAGAGAGATGGAGACAAACAGAAGCACAGTAGGTTTCCACATGAGTGTATGGGAGTTCAAAAGAGAGAGGCAGATGGGAAGGACTGGACTCATGGAAGAGACTCCCGCCCTAATGTGGATATTGGTCCCAGCAAAGGCCCTGGACGACCGTCTTCTGGGCTCACCTGATAGGAGCCAAAATCCAGATTGAGGGTGACAATATATCGAGTCTCTCGGCCACTGCGGACATCCTGGAGCTGGAGCTGGAGATCATGCCATGCCCCATCGTTCAGCTGCATTTGATCCAGAAGGAGCTTGGTGGTGCGTCCGGATCCCCTGTTCACCACAAAGGAGAGCAGGCCGGAGTCCAGCTAAAGAGACGATGAAGTCAGAACAGAGGAAATTCAATCGAGTAAGCAACACAGAGACAGTGCAGGCTGGATTTACCTCATGGTTCTAATTGCTCACAGACAGCAGATACGGAAGGATGTTGGGCTAAGGTACACTTACACAACTTTAAGGTATCCTAGACTCACAATAAATAGAATTTTGCACTGGCAAACAGTGTCACAAATTTTCTACACAATGAAGTCCCATGCTCCATAGCTACTTCTAATCTCAGGTATGAAAGGGAACTTCATCTCTCCTAGAAAGACCCGGAAAACTCCCAGAACTTTTGGTAAAAGCACGGAGCCAGAGCTGCTACAGAGAAAGGTGCCAGGACCCTACCTGGCAGAGGATGGTGGTATACTGGCCAGCATGTGCTTGGAGTAGCACTCCATTCAGTTGGCGTGTCCGGAATGCCAGCCCCAGATACCAAGGAGCGGAGATCTTCACCTCGTTTTTGAAGTCCCATGAGAGGATGCTGTTGCCATGGAAACGGTGAGGGTGATGCATGACTAGCAAAGAAAAGAAGCATAAAAGGTGTGGAAGTACAGAATGGTGATAGGGAAAGCCCAATGACCCCTTCCATTCGCAAGAAACTCAAAGACTTTACCTCAGATTTCAGCTATCCTCCAGATTCTGTAGTTCTCTGAATTTTTTGCATTACAGTTGTTTATAAGAACACATGAAAATGCAGTCTGATATTTGTATTTTAAGATTAAATCAATTTGGCACTCTCTACGTTGAAAGACTGTTACATTCCCCAGAAGGAACATTTCATCAAATGATGACACAATCAGATATGGGCCCTGCCCTTAACAACTGGACCCTCAGCAGGTTCTACTGACTCTGGAACATCTGAGGGCTGATTTTTTTAAAAGTATATGTTTTGTTCTAGGTTACAGCTACTTGATCCCAGTTAAAAACAGCACATGGCATGTATAATTGAGCAGTGGTTCTCAATCTTGGGTCCCCAGATGTTCTCAGACTAGAACTGGCCAGCACAGCTAGTGCTGAAAGCTTCTGGGAGTTTTGGTCCAAAAACATCTGGGGACCCAAGATTACGAACCAGTGGAAAAGAGTGATGTCTGATCCAGGTAAAGGCACACTCTCTATGAACATGTTAGTGTGTTTGTATTTGAACAGTTGTATGTGCAGATAGAACATCTTTAAGAAGGCTCCTATGAAAACAGATGAGATCATTCAAAAGAACATACAGTATAAACTTTCATTAAACATAAAGGCCAACTCTGGCCATGAAACACACTTCAGAAGTTCAGAAACCAGAGCCTACAGGAAGCTATCCCTTAAAGCCACTTTCCCCATGCTTTCCTTCTGGTCCATTTTTTCCAAATGCACAACTAGACTAATAGCATCCTCATCGCTTTACCTTCCTTACTCCACCTTCCAGCAGAGACCTAACATGACATATTTTGAGAGCCAATATGACATATTTAACTTAGGATTTTCTAGTTTGTGCTCCCTTCACAGTCCAGACTACCTTCCCGCATGCTCACGTCTATTTCCAGCCCCTCCTGCCCACCTGACAGCACACTCACCGTGCCTGCAGTCCTTGCCTCCAAAGCCTATTGGGCACTCACAGGCAAAGGACGACCAGCCCACTGTGCAGGTGCCACTGTTCTTACAAGGGTTTGAATCACAGAAGGAGTGCTTGGCATGGCAACCTAAGAACAAGGTAGACAAATGGCACAGAGGTAGAGGCAAAGGACCACACTGTTAACGTGGGATTGTTTCTATTTAAGCCCAAATCCCTAAATTGCGGAAATTAAGAAAACAGGCTGAAAATCTGGTGTAAGCAAACTGCTGCACTCAAAATATTTTGGACTACAGCTCCCACAAGCGCTAACCCCATGGCCAGCAGTCACAGTTTCTGAGAACTGTTGCACAAAATGTGTGGAGGACTTGAGTTCATCTACTGCTTCCGTGAAATATCTCATTAATAATGGGCAGAAATGTCTCCTAATGTCAGTCTTCTGGCTCTCCATGCAATTTTTTTTCTCCTGCAGCTGGATCCAGATGTATCCATATTTAGAGTGCGGACACATTGAAACCAGTCCCTTGATCTCAAGGCATCTACTCAAAGTGCAGGAGTTGCAACAGACACCAACAATTGTCCCCAAAGGCCCACTGATCCAAAGACAAAGAGTACCAAGCAGCAATAGATGTCTGGCTTGAAACAACAAGCATGCCAGTCCCAAGAAATACACAACAGAGAAGATGGGTGGGGTGGGGAGTATCAGTGATCCAGGGGTACAGCAGTTTGGTTATGGTTCATGCTTTGGCTGGGAAAAAAAAGCAAAAAAGCACTTATGCCAGTATTAGCAGAGTTCAGCCAAATGGCCATGCAGCTTTGCTAGAAGACAGGTGCATACGCGACCGAAGCTGTCTTATTGCTGACAATAAACTCTCAGAGCCGACGAAGCCGGGGGTGGGGTGGGCTCTGGCCCTGCTGAGGTTCATGCCAGCATCAAGACAATGGCTTTAGAAGGGGTGTGGTGTTTCGGTGTGTCCTGAAGTATCAAGGCAGGGATGGCCGAGCTGTTTTCAATTTTGGCAAGGGAAAGGGAGGGAAGATTTGGGAGAGGAATGATCTTGCAAGGGTCATGGTTAAGCAGTGGACATTACCTGCAGAGGTCCCATTGTTTGCAATGTAGGAAGCCAGGTCAATGCGTTTATTGTCAATGTATAGATCTCTCATGCACCCCACAAATTCCCTGTGTTCCACTGGAAAATTCTCAGGCAGATTGGGGACCCCTCCAAGGAGCAAAGGCCCAGTGAGGTCCAGCGATCTGGAGGAAGAAAAGGCTGTAAATGGCATTTGCAACACCTGCTCAACTCCTTGTTTCAACCCACTGACCACCATGTGGGTCCGATTTCTGCAATGGTGGCTTGAAGCGAGCAATGGGAGTCTAATGGAGAAAGTAGCAGGTCTTTTGCTCAAGCACAAGGAAATGCAGAAGCCTCATGCTTTGGTGTTTTGGCATGAAATCAGCCACACACTTCAAACAGTTCCCTCAGCTAGGCATGCAGAAATAGAGACAAAGCAATGGCAGTCATGACTGTTGTGGGACACCAGATCTTTCCCATATTCACTTTACTGTCAGCAAGCTAAGTCTTTCTCACAAAGCTCAATATCAAGTTGACTCAGCCAAGCACAGCAGAGGTAAGGAACATGAGCTCTTCTCCAAATGCTGTTAGACTGCAAATCCCATGATACCTCACCCATTGCCTATGTTGACTGAGGCTGATGGCAGATGCACTCCAACAGCATCTGGAGGGCTATACATTCTCCATTTGTTGTGTACAGAATCCTCTACCATGCTGGAGTATTATCTACATCGAACCTATATATAATACTGATCAACCTAACAAGATCATTGTAGGCAGTATTATTAAGTTTACGTGTGATGAGCTCTTTGATGATTCTGGCTGGTGATGACACTAGCTGTAGCCCAGCACATTTGGAGGGCACCAGCTTTGGACTGGCTGTCTTGAAATGAAGTTAGGCAGGTACAGAGTTTTGGATCAAACTCTTCTAGAGATCTTAATCTTAAACTACATCTTATCATTTTGAACATCACGTCTTCTCTATTCTCCAGAACGTATTCTCTGAAAATTAGCATGCAATAGAATAATCTGCACCCATATTATTATACCCATATGTTGCATATTGCAGATGGTGTGTTTCCTTGGTGCCATTTTCCCCATTTTTCACCACACTTCTTAGCTCTTTTGCTGACTGTTGACTTCCATGGAACCAGCTATGCAGTGCATTTCATCGTCATGGAAGAACAACAAATTGTTAGTTAATTTATTATATTTTTTTTCATTTTCATTTTCTGTTCTTTCTTTCTTGCCAGCTGAGGAGAGGTGCTTTATAATTTTGGCTACAATATGTCTTCTTGGGAGGTGAGCAGGCATCACTCACTGTTATGTCTCAAGCAGCAAAATGGCTTTGGCTATTTTTTCTCTGGACATCAAAGTGACCAGAAGGCTATGGGTGTAAGGAATTGTTCAAAGCTTCCCCTTCCTCTTTTCCCATAAGCACTTTAGCATGAACTGGAGATGGAGCTTAAGGTGGGGGGCAGAGGGGAGAATAGACAGAAAAGGTAATTTCCTAACATTTCGCAAAGGCAAAAAACCCTCACTTTTTGGAACTGGACTGCACTCCTTCTGCTGCACACGAGTAGTTGCCAATCTCGCTTCCAAACTGCAGTGCCACTGATGCATCACATTTGTCCACCATTAGGATGGCCACTTTGTCTTTGGAAGGCCCCTGCACGGAGCCCAGGGAGCTGATCTTGGGCTGAAACAATAAAGCAAGATTTGAGCCTGAATCGTCATCGTCTCCATGAACTGCAGTTCAAAATACATATTAGGAAAAATGGCAGAGTATCACTTTATACAAGTTTGGAATGAAATGGGACCTTCTTCTACAACACAACACAGGACAACACACAACATCCAGGCAGAAATCTAGCACATGAGAGACATTACAGTAATTTCCCCCGACAGATTTTCTAGACCAAGGGAGTTTTTAACCTATGCATTTAATCATTCAGTTCCCCCAGTGTTGGGAGGGGGATAGAGAATGTAGAATCATGGTGCAAAACACAAGAAGAATATAAAATAATGGAAAGTATAACAGAAATGTTTACCTTCATGTGTTTTCTATTTGCATATTATAGCTAATGTCAGAAATATGGCAACTCAAAATAGTCACAACAAATACTAAAAAGATCTGAGTTATTATGGGACTGCTTTAATTTTTTTATATGTTTTCCACTTTCCAGAAACATACCATTAACACTGGTAATGGTATTAGCCCTGATTTTTGAAATATTTGTACAATTCATCAGGATTTGTCAAAATTCAAATATGAATGTTACTGTTGCAAAATTTTGGACATTCACTGTAATATATATTTATAGATTGTATCTGTCACTTAATCTAGAAGGCTAAGGGGTGGTGAGACAAACACTTCTAGAAAGCATTGTAATAGCTTTCTCCAAGGAATCACTGCAGTAAGAATGCAGCCCTCAATGCCATCCAGCATCTGAGAATTAGGCCTTAATCTTGGTGTCTGGAAGCATCATTCTGGGATTTGGAACTCCTAGAATTCCACCCTTGGGAATTCTAGGATAATTCTGGGAATTGCTGTCCCAAACAAACTAACTCACGGCACATCCCCGTCTTTCACAACTTCTAACCGAATTCTCCAAGATCAGGAAATGTATATTGTTTCTGTACCTTTGTTGTACACCATCCAGAGTAGCAATTTGCTAGATCCTAGATGGGCATTATAAAATTCAAATAAGTAAATAAATAAATCTCTTTAATGCCATGGCAGCCTTTAAGCTGAACGGCGAATAGGGAGAAAAGTCACAAACAGAAGAATGAAAACGATGAAGTGTCAATTGCTCCAAACAACTGTGGAGAACAAGACATGATGATGTTTTGGTTGCTGTGGGTTTACCAGGCTCTTTGGCCATGTTCTGAAGATTGTTCTTCCTAATGTTTCGCCTTCGCGAATACATGATGATGTACTTAGGTTGCCCCAAAGATGATAGCCCTGAATTGAGTTCCTCTTCTCCTCTTCCGTCACATGCTCCAATTTGACAACAGCGTGCTCCTTCCAAGGGAGCAGGAGCATGGAAATGCACCTCATGATGCAGGATCAACCAGCGGTTATGGTACAGGAGATGGCATCTCAACCATAGGTTGGAATTCTTAGAAGTCACTCCCTGCTTTTTCTAAATACGTGCATTCATTTCTTTAGAGGCATTTGCATCTTACCTTTCTTTTGTGGAACTCAGGATGGTACATACAGACTCCTCAAGCAGTCTCCTTCCAAGAACTAACCAGACTCAGACCTACTTAGCTTTAGCAAGGCTGCTGCATTTTGGGTATTTTGAAGCTGTTGGACCTAATGGGGTGCAATTCAGCTGACACTGATGAAATTTGTGTCTTTGCATGGGGACACAAAAATACAAACCAGCGAGTTGTGGCACCTTAAGGAGTAGCATATTTATTTCAGTGGATGCTTTCATGTAGAGGTGGGCGCAAACCGCTAGTCCGGAGGTCTACCCAGTTCATTTACTGCTGCAACAAGTGTTTGGCAGTTCAGCTGATGGTGGTGGCCATTCAGAAGCAGTGTTTGGAGAAGACCTGGCAGGGAAGACCTGTTGCAGCAGTAGATGTACTGGGATGAACTGCCGAACCAGAAATTTTTCTCCATCTCTACTTTCATGCATTGCCATTGAGATACAAAAAAAAATGTCTTGTCCATGAGCAGGGGCAGGTAGAGAAAGAAGGAACTTCTCAGATTTCCCAGGCTGTCCTTTTCCTGCTCTGACCTATGCTGACCTTCCTTCAATCTAGACTAATCTTAAGGTTGCTGATGTTACGGCTTTTCCTTCTCATACATTTCTTTGTGATCTTCTCTGAAAGAGGTCACAGGAGATGTCTTGCCTCCATAGGGGTGGAGGTGGGGGTGCCCATTACTCCCTGTGTCACTATCCCAGTTAAAATTAGGCTTCCCATTATCTTTTCTGCCCCAATGTGTCTCTCTAAGAAACATTAACTTTTTTCTTATTTTCTTAGAATAAAAATAAAAATAGAATAAAAACTGTATAAGTGATTTATTTCCAAAAGTGGGGGAGAAGTGTGCACTGTTAACTATTCCAATACTTGGGGGCTGAATCCACAAATTAACTCAGTTGCTTCTTCTTCTGCTAAAACAAACAATGCTCTGGGAAAGTAAAATAATTCTTGTTGAACTATCTTTAGAATATTAGTTTTTTAAAGGTATGGATGGAGCCAGGGTGGGCAGAATCAGCACTTGCTTGTGCGCTTGATGGAGAAATGCGAGAGAGAAAGCTACTAACTGTGGCCCGCTGAAGCCAATCACACCCAGGGGGAAAAGGAATAATCACAACAACAGAAGCAGATCATCTTGGCACTTACCTTGTTGTAATAATGAAGCTGAACTGTATGCCACTGCCCATCACTCACCCCTCCTGGCACGTAGGGAGTAACGATGGTACTTGACTCACCTGTAAGGTGGAGTAATATCATATCCTCTCAGAAGAACAGATGTTGGATGCAAATATTTGAGATGTGAAATGTGTGGATACATGTCACAAGTCCCCCTACCCCATAACACTCACACGGGTAAGCAATGGGCATCAAACCTGCAATAATTTCAGTGCCAGTTCTAAACTTTTATATCTGCCTGGCCAATTTAAGCTGACCAGTCCATTATACTGTGTTTTTAACAGCCTTTTCAAAATACTATTTTATGATTCTGCTTTATCATATGTATTGTACTGAATGATGGGATCACCATTTTGGGTAATAGGTTCTTCATTGCCCTAATATCTTTTAATGACAGACAGTTCATAAATATCCATATATATCCACACATACACACATGAATAGGAAACTTGTAAGCAAACAAATCAGGACAACAGTAGAGATGAAAGGCTCTTTCCCAGCTTCTGCAACCTCAGTGGCAGTTGCCATATGTTACAATGCTAATCTGGATTAGATTCTCACCCCTGCTACAGTAATTTTGGAGGAAAAGAAAACTAGATTAGTAGGAGGCACTAAGGTATCATATTTGCAAGGTCCTCATCCTGAACCCACAAAGCTGCTCTTGGGATAAAACAAGAACTGAGGAGGCATCATATCAGCATGAAAATCATACTTTGCAAACTAAAAGCAAAGAACACATCGAAGAAGGAAGAGGCTAACTTTTCAGATTCCATACTGGTTCTGAATGTAAATTCAGACATGGAGAATTATTGTCTGTCTCCCCCTCCCATTCATTTACTTTTTCAATGTCCTTCACTGAGACAACTAGCACATGAGGCCACTACTTATTTTCACTGACACACCAATTTTCCAGAGGCCAAGAGTTTTCAATGTGACAGTATATATTTGACCATTCAGTGCACCACTAAAACAAAACAGTATAGAAGCATGGGTTCTAAGTGGCCCCTTGGCAATCCCAAGAGAACGCTGCATGTGCAGTGGTGTCACTCTTCCAAATACAACAAGACGACAGATATCCATCATTGTCCGTATTTCAGCCTCTGAAGACATGTAGGTAAAACCACATACATGCAGGTACCAGCACAATAGGATGTCTAATGCATACAAGCCCAGCTCAAGGGAAGGAGAAGACCTAGAGTTTTGCTATGATATATATTGCGAAACTCACTCAATGTGTTCTTCAGTTGTTTCTAAGAAATGGATCAAGCACTAAAATGTTATGAAGGAAGGCATACGCCCTTCACAGCCACATATTGGTATTTACGTGAATCATTCCAAATGTATTGGCTGGAGAACCTGGCAAAGACGTCTGCCTTGGTATTAATCTTCCACTCAGCTTTTCCCAGAAGCAGCTCTCCTTGTTGAGCAGCTTGTAATGAAAACAGCTCATAATAGCCAAAGAATATTTGGCACAAGGAAACTTCTGTGTCCTCTTTTAGAAATTAATAAATCAATAGGATGTGATTTGCAGCTTTTATAACCTTTCTCTCTGTCTCTCTCTCTCTCTCTCTCTC